AACCTGATAGCTTTCTTTGAGAGGGTAACAAGCCTTGTGGATAGGGTGGAAGCAGTAGATGTGTATATCTTGACTTTAGAAAAGCTTTTGATACTGTCTCGCATGACCCTCTCATAAACAAACTAGGGAAATACAACTTAGATGGAGCTATTATAAGATGGGTGCTTAGCTGGTTGGAAAATTGTTCCCAGAGACTAGTTATCAGAGATTCACAGTCATGCTGGAAGGGCATAACAAGTGGAGTCCTGCAGGGATCGGTTCGGGGTCCGGTTCTGTTCAATATCTTCATCAATGATTTAGATAATTGCATAGAGAGTACACTTATGAAGTTTGTGGATGATACTAATCTGGAAGGGGTTGTAAGTGCTTTGGAGGATAGGATTAAAATTCAAAATGATCTGAACAAACTGGAGAAATGGTCTGAAGTAAATAGCATGCAATTCAATAAGGACAAATGCAAAGTACTCCACTTAGATGGAACAATCAGTTGCACACATTCAAAATGGGAAATGACTGCCTAGGAAGGAGTACTGCAGAAAGGGATCTGGGGGTCATAGTGGATCACAAGCTAAATATGAGTCAACAGTGTAACGCTGTTGCAAAAAAAGCAAACATCATTCCGGGATGTATTAGCAGGAGCACTGTAAGCAAGACACGAGAAGTAATTCTTCCGTTCTACTCCGCACTGATTAGGTCTCAACTGGAGTATTATGTCCAGTTCTGGATGCCACATTTCAGGAAAGATGTGCACAAATTGGAGAAAGTCCAGAGAAGAGCAACACAAATGATTAAAGGTCTTAAAAAAAAAAAGAACTATAGGGGAAGATTGAAAAAATTGGGTTTGTTTAGTCTAGAGAAAAGAAGACAGAGGGGACATGATAACAGTTTTCAAATACATAAAAGGTTGTTACAAGGAGGAGGGATAAACATTTTTTTTTTAACCTCTGAGGATAGGACAAGAAGAAATGGGCTTAAATTGCAGCAAGGGATGTTTAGGTTGGACATTAGGAAAAACTTCCTAACTGTCAGAGTGGTTAAGTATTGGAATAAATTGCCTAGGGAGGTTGTGGAATCTCCATCATTGGGGATTTTTAAGAGCAGGTCGGACATACACCTGTCAGGGATGGTCTAGATAATACTTAGTCCTGCCATGAGTGCAGGGGACTGGACTGGATGACCTCTCAAGGTCCCTTCCAGTTCTATGATTCCCTGTGCAAAGTGGAGATGAGCTCTTTACCAGCTCCACACACAATGGGCTAAGGGGGTGACTATACAGTCAGAAAATATGTGGATCCAGTTGCCACAAACTTCTAAACCTCAGCTGATACAGTAGGGTCACAACAAATATTGCAGTCAAAGGATTAGAGCAGCAGCCAAGGACGAGCTGTATTGCTACCTTATTCCTGCTCGTGGTTTGTGGAGTAAAGTCCATCTCTCCCTGACCCTCGCCTAGTTATTAAGCAAAGCCCAATCATGAGGGATTTGTGTGGGGAAAAATATTTCAGTGAGTGCATCTGTCATCATTATACTCCAAAGAGCCATTTGTAAAATGAAATTCAAAACAAAATCTGTATACTTTATCAGAGTCTGAATTCTTACTCATTGACTCCATTGATCATCCTCTAGGTTATTCTGCAAATCTCATTTCCATTTTCTCCTAACTGTGGGTTTTATCCCTTTCAGAGAAGATAATTTAAGGCTGTATATAAAGCTGAGAAGAGGTGCAAAGGATTTGCCCTTCTAAATTAAAGTAATGCTTCTAGGCAACAGCTGTTATCTTCAAATTTCAGCCCTAAATTTTTAACATAGCTCCTGGTTGTTATCTCTTTCAAACACTGGGAGATTTCTAGTAGAGAAACTTGTTTTCTGTAACTTTCTGAGGGCAAGAAATTTGGCGGCATGGGCAAAAATCTGGGAATACTGTGATACCTCAAACTTCCTAAATTCTGGTCATTATAGCAGAAACCAGCTCTTGGAGATTTATGTTACTGTGAATATTTATGTATTTAGAAATTTACATTATGCATATCATCAGGTTTCAAGATGCATACAAAATGTTGAAAACAAAATGTAGACAAATACGTCTAAAGTGTACTAAGAGGAATCTGGCTTATAAATGTTTAGGATTTAGGCTCATGCTTAGGATTTAGGCTCAGCAAGGGCTCTTTGACCATAGGATTTTCCTTCAGGTACAGATTTTGCAGAAAATAAAGACAGCTATATTATCGGTACTGCATGCAAGTAATAAAAATATAGTAGTATCTTCATGAACAATTTTGGGTACATTATAATATTCAGTTTTTAACAAGCAGTGAGTGGGTTTTGGACACTACCAATTTTGGACACATCTGAGTTTACAAGCTCAAAGACTGAATCTGGTGTCTGTAAGATTCATTCTCTTCCTCTTTTTGAAGGGATACAACATTTTTGGTTATTCTGTGCTATTGTGTCATAATTAAGGCTAAGACCTGGTCTTCGGGTACTTTTAGTAAAAGTCATGACAAGTAATGACTTTCACTATAAACACCCCTGACTAAATCTTAGCTGCCCTGGCCTTGCTGCACTGGGGGGCCTCTGGTCCATCCCCATCGACCACTGCTCTGTGGGAGCCTCAGGGCCAGCTGCCTGGGGCTGCTGAGCAGTGATTGGTGTGGCTACCCCGAGGGCTGCTGCTCCCCAGGGCTCCTGCTCCGGGCGAGGGTTGCCAGATGTCCAGTTTTCAATCAGAATGCCTGGTCGAAAGGGGACCCAGAAGGCTCCGGTCAGCATCGACAACCGGGCCGTTAAAAGTCTGGTCAGCGCACTGTCCTGGCACCGCGCTGCGCCCTGGAAGCAACCAGCATGTCTGGCTCCTAAGTGGGGAGACCACCCTGAGCACTGGCTCCCCACTCCCATTGGGCAGGACCCGGTGGCCAATGGGAGCTTTGTATTGGTGCCTGTGGGCAAGATCAGCGCACTAAGACTCCTTGCCCCCATGCCTAGGAGCTGGATCTGCTGCTCTCTGCTTCCAGGGTGCAGCGTTGAGCCATGACAAACAGGGAGCCTGACTTAGTCCCACTCATTGCTGACCAGGAGCCGCCCAAGGTAAGCCTGTGCCCCAACCCCGAGCACTAGCCCTGAACCCCTGCAAACCTGAAGCCCCCTCCTACACACCAAACCCCTCATCCCTGGCCACACCACAGAGCCCTCACCCCCCCACACACCCCAATCCTCTTCCCCCAGTTCAGAGCCCCATCCTACACCCTGAACCCCTCATCCCCAGCCCAGAGCCCATAACCCCTCCTGCACCCAACCCCGTGCCTCAACCCACAGCCCCCTCCCTAACCCCGAATCCTTCGGCCCCACCCCCCAGCCTGGAGCCCCCTCCTGCACCCCAAACCTCTCATCCCCAGCCCCACCCACAGCCCTCACCCCCACCCACAGCCCTCATCCCCTCCCGCACCCTAACTCCCTGTCCCAGCCTGGAGCCCCCTCCTGCACCATGATCCCCTAATTTCTGGCCCCACTCCAGAGCCCCCACCCTTCGTTAGAGCCCCCACCCCCTCTCACCTCCCAACCCCCTGCCCCAGCCCAGTGAAAGTGAGTGAGGGTGGGGGAGAGTGAGCCACTGAGGGAGGGGAAAATGTAGTGAGAGGGGGGCGGGGCCTCGAGAAAGGGGTGGGGCTAGGGTGTTTCTGTTTTGTGTGATTAGAAAGTTGGCAACCCTACTCCGGGTGCTGCTCCAGCTGTCTCCGAGGCCGCTGCTCCGGCCACTGCTGGAGTGGTCCCCGGGTATAGCTGTGCAGGGCCGCCAAGCAGTGGCTGGCGTGGCTGCCCCCAGGGCTGCTCGCAGCAGCTGCCTGAGTGGCTGGCTTGGGGGTGGCTCCGGCAGCAACCAGTGTGGCTGGCCCCGGGGCCACCTGAGCAGTTTGCCCTGGGGACAATTGTTCGGGCGGCCCTGGTGTCAGCCACGCTGGCCGCTGCGGAATTTCATGGAAGTCATGGAAAGTCACCGAATCTGTGACTTCTGCGACCTCCATGACAAACTTGCAGCCGTAGTCATAATTTATATTGCTGATTTTTGATATTGCAATAATAACTGAAATATCAAAATGGAAGAGCCCTATGAAATAATAGAAGATTTTGTATATTTTTTTGAAATACATATAATGTATAGACACCCTGTAATGGTCACACTCCTTCATTGACAAGACAAGATGGATTTGATAATATGAAATAAAGAAATGTGAATGAATAATATAGTCAATAGAATGCAACTGCCATTAGAGAGAAAGAGATGGAATTCTGAAGAAAAACAAAGAGCAACTCACACTAGAATAGTATGACAGTATCAAAAAGAGGATTAGAAAATGTAATTGCAGGCAAAGAAATATAGACAAGTGAATACAAAGAATACAAAGACAATTGTTTCTGCCACTGTAAGTACATTAATGCAGAAGTTGGGTACAAATGTTTCCTTATCCTTATCATTTCTCATCTGAAAGATGGTTCTTCTGCTATTGCAATTCCCTGTTACATTATGGGGCATTGATAAGAAACTCAATAAATGCCACCTTTGCCTTTAAGTCATTTCTGAACCAAAGCCCCATGATATAAGGAGAACTGTGCCTGTGGAGGGGGCATCTTCCGCAAGAGTAAAAGAAAGGTCCTGGTTACTTGTGGTAACTAAAGCACTTTTCAAAAATGTAGACGTGTTAAGTCCAGTGTTACAGTCAATTTCCAGCTCTGGTAATTTGTTATATCCAAAATCACCCAATAGTTTCAACTAGATAAATGGTTTTTCACTTCTTGTCCTAAATTGTGCAGTGGTACTAGAGTAGAATGGCTAGGTGCAGTATAAACCCTGGGTGCAATACACTATGTATAATGGTTTGAGATCCTCAGTTCCTTCTGGATGAAAAACAGTATAAATAAAAGATATTATTGCAGGCCAAATTTCGTCGGTGAGATACAGCAATACATTGCAAACTGAAAAGATAGTAGCTTTTACTGATACTCACCTATTCCATCAAAATCAACATTCAGACCCTGTTTAACATGCTCCTGTATCAGCTGAAGTGTTTGCTCAAAAATCTCTCCTGCTCTTGCAATCTCTATAGTGAAAGGATCCCGTGGATAGTGGAATTGAGCCAACAGATCATTTGGAGTGAGGGGACGCCTGCAGAAATGAAAAGGACCCATTGAAACCAATATATTAAAACTAATTTCTATGTAGAAATATGACCAGAGTTTCTCTATAGATATTCAACATCTGAAAATAATCGCGAAGAAGTGAGCCTGCTTCAAGAGAATAGTCTTAAACTGATGGTGTGTAGAAACCCACATGCAATAAAATATTTAATTTTCTCCCCTTATATGGGTGTTTTGTGTATGTTATAGAGCAAAGCCAAAGCAATCATGGACTGTTAACACTAAACAAAGGCAATGCGTTTGACCCTCTGCAGTGGGATATCACAGAAAATATTATTGCTCATCTGACCCTCAGACTCTCCAACAGCGAACTCATAAAAAGACATTTATGGTATTTTCAAGGAAAGAACATTCTACCTTCTCCTGACCATCCTTTCTGGACTAGTTTCTGATTTCCCTTTTGTTAAAGGAAAAAAGCATTTAGAAAGAAAACTGTGTCAATTACTTGCCCCTCCAAATAAAGGGATAGCCTACTATTCACCCAGGAATGGCTGAAGGCTACCATAAAATTCAAAGGTTAGACTGAATTGACCTGAACTTTATGACTAACAAGAAAAAAGGAGCTCCGGTGTCTAGCCACACTGCAACATATTATTGCCTTTACCTTCCACACTTAAATGCCAAAGAAATATAATACAGTTACTGTCCGTTCATGGAGGGAATCATAAGATAGTGATTTCACCAAGAAAACAAAAACCTAAGGCTCACAAAGGAATGAAAACTTCTCAGGGTTAGCACTGTCAATCCCTTTTTCTGTACTGTACTGCAGCAGTGACAGCCTCTAAAACTTAACTGCTTTTTCTACAACTTTGCTCCCCTCTGCATTGCACAATGGAGGAAGCACAGGGACTAAAGAGACCAAACACTTTGTTCCTGTCCTGAAGAGAAGGAGGAAAAGCAAAGCTAACTTTTTATGGATGTTCTGTTTGGTTCTTTCCTCCTGTTTCCAAAGCTTTGGCTACAGAGTTCCTCCCTAGGTTAGCCCTTGGCAAGAGGGCACATTGAAGCAGTAAGCCACATAAAGTAGTCAGGTGGCAGCTGAATAGCGATAGAGATGGGCCTAAAAGGTGAAATACTAAAAAAATACGTTTTCTGACTTTGCTCTGTGTTGAGCAGCATGACCTTCCCTTTGAAAGTTTAACTGATAATGACTACTACTAAGAAACCATGTCCTGGCTACAAGCAAAAATATGTTTTGACTACAAGCCATGTCCTGGCTACAAAAAAAATGTTTCATTACAGGACACTTTTTTGAATGCAATGTTGTTGTAGCTGTGTTAGTCCCAGAATACTAGAGAGATAAGGTGGGTGAGGTAATATCTTTTATTGGACCCACTTCTGTTGGTGAGATAGACAAGCTTTTGAGCTCTGTGTAAGCTCAAAAGCTTGTCTCTCTCACCAACAGAAGTTGATCCAATAAAAGATATTACTTCACCCACCTTGTCTCTCTAATATTTTTTTTTTGTAATTTAAAAACACACACAAGTTAAGCAGAATAAAAATATGAACATTTTCTGTGAGCAAAGATCAAATAAATTCTTACTGCGAAAACAAATGTCTTCTTGTGGAGTTAATTGCACTGTCAACTTTTTGGATGGCATTGAGAATGGATGATTCAACAAAGTTATCACCAGCTTGTCTACCTTGCGTTACTGCAAAAAAAAAATCCATAGTTTGAGAAATGTCTCATTTTTAAAGTTCAAATTTATGTGATATAAATAGCACTTAATAACATTTGGCATTTTAAAGTGACAAGCCTTACAATAACAAAAAAAGCTGTAAATCCTGACATTTATATTAGGCATTGCAAAGAATAGACAATTATGTTCCATACAATAATCCTAGCTGGCATGTTCAGCATCGGTAAAGAGATACAGGAATTTTTCACCTTCGGATCACTGGTTCAGATCCAGTTAGTAATGACAGACGGTTATCAACATACAGCTGCTTAGTGACTTTTGTGAAATGAGTCTCACTTCAATTCTTAGAGGAGAAGGAGCCCCCAGAAATCATCATAATAGGAATTGAATCTCAGTAGAAAGGTCACAAGGACAAAGTACACTGAGCTTTCAACAACATTTTGGTCATCATAAAAGGAACCAGTCTGAGGTCCCCAAACCCCAATTGTTAAGAAACCATAAACATTGCTTTTTAGGAACAATGCACTTCTGGGGCAAGGCGCTCAGCATACACAATCAAACAAGAGCCACATGTTCACACGCTGTCACTCTTTTGTCAGAGTAAAGCAGACTGGCCATATTGAGGAAGCCTCACCATGAAGCAGTACTATGAAGTCACATTTGAAAAAGGAAGTTAGCATCATAAAAATGAAGCATCTGGGAAGAGGCAGAAGGGTATAAGGTAAACTAAATAGGACTTGTAAAAACCTTTCCATCACAGACAAGCTCTAGAACACTACAAAACCCCAAGAACAATAAGCAAGAGAGTCCATTCCCATCATCTCACCCATTTTCCAGTTAGCCCTTGCTCCCTAGTAAAAGCCAGGAAAACAGTGGAGCTCTCCAACATGAGAGGTTCATTGTGAAAATGGTAGGGTAGTGACATCTGATGAGGTTATTAACTCATGTAAATTAGTCACAATGGTAGTTCATATTAAGTGGTGCTTTCTCACGAGACTATATATACTGAGGGAAGTTACGGGTTGCTCAGTGGAGCAATCTACACAACATACAGCAGCATGTTTAAAAAAAGCTACAAGATACTTTGGATATAAATGAGAGAGCACATAAAATTTTATATGGGATAATACATGCAATATATTATGCTCAATTGACGTCACAACAAACAAAGAATAAATAGAAGATAATATGCACGGATCGTTGTTACTGTTGTATAACAGAAGCTACATACTTTACTATTACTTTGGGGGGGGCTTATAAAAGATAAAGGCCCGTTTTTATTTAAATTTTATTTACATTTTTATTTAAATTGTTCCAATCCTTTGTCAACTACAAAATAAGCATGGGAGCCCCTTATGGAACAAACTTGTTAAACCCTCAGTTCTCATCAGTCCATTCTCAGAGATTGACAGAACCAATAAGGTTTCCTGACTCTGAGAGAAAATACTTTGCCCAAATAGTTTTTTGTACTCTAGAGCGAGAGCGTGCACACAGATGCCAAAATACAGGCATTTTTAGCATGCAACCCTAAATGGCTCCAAGAACAACCCCCCTGAAAGTAGACATACAAAACTGTGCCATGCAAAGCCATTAACATCATCCTCCCATTTGTCTTTGGATTCCTTAGTCATTAGTAATGCATTGTTAAGTTACAGTTTGTAGGATAGAATTAATTGGGAGATCAGCACAGATGGTAAAATTACTGCAGCGTGTTCAGAAAGTACCATCTTACATTCTTAAATTTTGCATTTTATTACAATGACCTTTAAATGGGTACACACAGGGAAAGAGCAAAAAAAGAAAAGAAGGGGTGGGGGGGAATCACGCAACATTTTTTCTTGATGATTTCTTCATGCACCAAGTCACTCCAATTGTTTTGAATGCAGTAGAGTTTTCTTCTTAAAAAGAAAAAATGTGATGTAACCCAAGGCATACCATGCAGCTGGTAAATCCCCTTCTAGTGACACTGAATCGGACTGCCACATGATAATTGTGTTACAAATCCCAGAAATAACTTTTTGTTGGATACAATTAAACTGTAATGACATTCTTTGTTTTATGCAGTGTTGTTGTAGTCATGCTGGTCCCAGCATATTAGAGAAACAAGATGAGTGAGGTAATATCTTTTGTTGGACCAAATTCTGTGCAAGCTTGTCTCTCTCACCAACGGGAAGTGGTCCAATAAAAGATATCACCTCACCCACCTTTTGTTTCTCTAATATTCTTTGTCATATAATTTTCATTTAATCATAATGTATCTGCCTCTTTCCTTACTTTTGAGGGGTTTTGGTTTTTTTAATCCATAATATTCTTTTAACTTTTTTTTTTAATAATAAGTGAAATACATTCTCAAGCTTAACTCTCCCTCAGTTCAATTTTGGGTCTCAAAGAAATTCTACTTCTTGAAAGGTATTATTGCTTTAACAAACACTTTAAAAAAAGATATTTGCTAACATTATACAGGACCTGCTTTTGAAATGGCAACCAGTACCTCAAAGCTATTTGGGGACAAACTGCTCTTGGTTTAACAAAAAAAGACAAGGATAAAGGTAAATGTTCACGAGGGGATAATTTTCCTTGACATATATTACATTTTCCTTGATGTTTAACATTATAATGTCTACTAACTGGAGAAAGAGAAGAGTGCTGTCAATTAAATATTTAATAAAAACATATTTACGATTTGCCTGTCAAAAAACTCTACAATTATTACAACTCAAGACACTAGGCAGATTTTCAGAAATTGAAACATTAGTAGCGGAACAGCTACTTGGAAACTTACTGGTAACAGTCAGCACCATACTGGTTGTAGCCAGGCCAAAAGAGTTCCTTGCAACACATTCATATCTCCCCTGGTCTGCTTGTCCTAAGTCTCTGATTGTAAGAGTGCCATCTGAGTTCACATGGAATTTGCCACTCTCAGTAATCTGAACACCAGTCTACAAAGAAAAACACCCAAAGTGCATGTTATTGGTGTCTCTCGATTTCTTCTCTGAAAAGGTGGAAAACTATTACTAATGAAACATCTCAAATCAACTACTGACTAGAGGTAGTCTGATTCACGAAGGCCCTGAACACATGGAACAATTTTTGTCGAGGACTGAAAAAAAATGTTTTAGATTCCACCACAGACAGGGCATAGGAATATAAATCAGAGTGCTTCAAAGTTGGGGGGTGGGGATCTGCTTTGTTTTTCTTTCCCATTAATGTGCTACTCCCCTCCCTCTTACTGCTTTATCTGTACCCAGTAACGTGCAAAGGTGACCTGTGAAAACACTGTGGAGGTAGGAGAAGTTCTTGGTGTAACTAACCGAATGGCTGAGTACAAAGGACTATTTGGGCAAAGTATTTTCTCTCAGAGAGTCAGGAAATCTTATTGATGCTATTAGCCTCTGAGAATGGACCAATGAGAATTGGGGGGTTAACATGTTTGTTTCACAAAGTGTCTGCTTATTTTGTAGTTGACAGGAGTGGTACAATCAGTTCAGAGTTAAATACAAATTGTTTTTTTTTCTTTATCTTCTATAGAAAAAAAGTAATAGTAAAGTGTTAGTTATTGATTATATTTAAATTAGGAGGCTTTCTTCACAACTGAAAGTAAAAGGAAATGTATAGAGTCTCCAACAGTGTAGCAACTTAAGGTTTTGGGAGGGAGTCTTGTGTATGTAAAAAAGCCCTAGCAAGAATTCCATCAGGACAGGTACCATCTAGGATAAAACTAAGCCCCAACATGGGAGCATGCCATGAGTGGGGCTGCAGGAGGAGAAGGGCAGATTGGGCTGGGAGCAGGATCTCAATAGCACAGAGTACTTTGGAGATTCTAGGGTAGGAGTGCGAGCTCTGATGGTTTGGTCATGTAAAGTGCAGTTCCGACAACTATATGGGTAAGAGAGTCCAAGAGATGAAGATTGAAGAAAAAAAGATACAGGCCAGTGAAGGAATACAGATAATGCAAGATGGCATTTGATATAAAAATAATAAGGTAACTATTGTTATGCAGATAATTAGTTTTGTTGTTAGGTAGATTAAGATGATTTAAAAAGGTATTTTGGGTTAGTTAAAACCACAAACTAGTTTAAGCTCGCCAAAACCACTATAAGAGGAAGGGTTGTGACCGCTGCTACAGGAAGAGTCTGAGAGAAGCAGACAGTAGCTGACAGAAATAAGTGCAGCTCACAGCTAAGCATAGGATACAAAAGAGGGTGTTGAACAATGAGCAACGAAGACCACGAACACCTGGATGATGTAGTGGGTCCTCCTTTTCACTCTAATAAGGTCATTGCTTATAGTATGAGGGAAGCATTATTGCAGTAGAGGTTTATAGTCATTTTGAGTACAGCATATGGGATGTATTTCCTTTGGTAAAAACCAATCAGCTTTTGGGAAATAAAGGTACTTTCAGTGAATTTTCAACTCATAGCCTTATTCTTAGAACCAGATCCAAGAATTACAACAGCCAACCCAAGGAGACGTGGTGGGATGTCATAAAGGAAGACATGTTAGCATGTGGTATGATAGAGGATATGGCATTGAACATAGCACTTTGGATGGAGAGGACTCAGAGTGGACTATGTTGATGGGATTAACGCAAGACAGACGACGACGACTTTGTAGATTCTAGTGCAGCTCCAGGTTATAGCATTACCTCTAGGCAGAACTGCAATGATTTAGAGCAGCCCCCTGGGCCACCTAATTTATGCGGGAGGCCATTTCAGTCCCAAAGAATCCCAAGACTTTAAGTCTGGCATAGCACACTCTTTCAACCCTTGTTTTGTACTTTTACTGAAAACAGGCTATGGTTAAAAAAACTTTTATGTACAGTAGATTTGTATAGAGCTTTTAATCTTTTAAAGCCTTCAAAAATGTAATATTTTAATGAATCTGATCTGTTTTGGATGAATTTTAGATTGTCAAATTGTTTTAAAAGAAGAATATGTTGCTTTTAAGAAATAATACTTAGGACCAATTTATGCCATCCACTTGTGTTGCTCTTAATCTATAATTAGGGACTGAATCTGCCCTTAGATTGGCTTGCTAATTTTCTGATGTAAAATAGCAAAAATACAATACAGGCCTTTAAACGACAGACTAAATTGCTGAAGTTTGCTCTTTGTCATTTTCAAAAATATTAACAAATATTTGTAAAAGAATTGTTTGAGGATTATAATAGGTGTCTGTATTTTGGTAAAAGCTACAGCTGCAACTAAACAATCCTGGGTCCATTGCTTTTAAGGTTCTGCATCAGCTGGACAAGATCGAAAGCCCCGTAGATATAATCAAGTAACCCTACCTTGCTCCAGCTGATTGTGGGCTGAGGTTCTCCATGTGCACTACAAGGAATCTCTACATTCTTTCCAACCTCTGCGCTGGTATCTTGCGGAAGTTGAGAAAATACTGGCAGAGCTGCAGAAAACACAAACACACATTCCTTATATTGTCATCTCTTCTAATACCCAACAGTGTTATTGAGTTACACTTTCCTGGATTGACTAGGTTTGCCATGGCTAATAGATCCTCAGCTGGTGTAAACTGTTATACATCATTGACCTCACTGGAACTATGACAATTTAGATCAGTTGGAGAGCTGTCCCTCAGAGCTTAGTACTGTAATGAGAACAACAAAGCCATGCTATCCCCTGTAATTAGAAAACAATAGAGAAGTCTTACTAAATTTTGGAAAGGTCTTATTCCACTTACATTCATGCTATAACATTCACTAGGCTTACTTATTTTCAGATGAGCCCTAAGATCATATAAAGGTCCTTTGTTAAATTTTCTGTTTCTATAGTTTAGGGAACAGATACTCATATGTTGAAACATGTCTAAAGTTAGCAGGAAAAAAATACCTATAACGGTACTATCATAAATTACAGAATCATAGAAAATATGTTTGAAAGGGACGAGTTCGCTTATTTCAGGATGTTGCATCAAAAAAGAAAAACACTATTTTAGGCAATAAATGGGCCTACTTTTGATTTAGATGACTCTTCTGCATTTGTGATGAGTACATCATTAAGTAAAATGGTTCACTACCCCATTGCCCTAACCAATTTTATTTTAATTTTAAAGTTAAATTTGATCTTTAACAACATAACCTCTTACTTCCTGTTTTACAACTGGTGTTTGATAGAAACAATCATTTCCTTCTATCATTGCCCTTTAAATATTTATGGGAAGTAATAATCCCACTTTACACATTGGGGAGGCACTCTTGTGTCCTCACAAGTAACAATGTTGACATTGATGGTACTAAATTAATGGATTAAACCCTTTTAAATTACAAGGAAAATTCACTCTGCTTGCTGTAAATCCAAGAAATATATTTATAGATAATTTTACCATATTCCATAATATGGAAACTGGATAAATATAGCCTGGGATTATTTTTTGTTTAGGATTTATATTTCTATAGGGCCAAATTCTCTGCCCAGCACCACAGAAATGCTTCATGGGAGCTGGAATCCTCTCCTAATAGCCTGTGGAGTGTTACTGGAGTTGTTCCGCACCAAAATACAGTGTGGCAGAAATGTGAAATGAACAAACCATGGTTTTGCTCCGTTATACATGGGACTCTGGTACTGAAAACAAACCATGATTTTGTCTACTATCCCCAAAAGTGAAAATTATGTTTCTAAATACACATTTATCATTAAAAGTGTGACCATCTAATAAGTTTCTAGGTATATTTACAACCTTAAAAACAGCAGAAAACAAAACACCTCATCTATTACCTTGGGGTTGCACATTCAGCTGGACGGTCATTCTCCTTACCCCCAAAGCACTGACAGCTTGGCATTCATACTGGCCTTGATCATGTTGGGCCACATGTACAATACGCAATGTTCCAGATGACAGCACAGTGTGGCGTCCATCAGAAGGCAGATGACTTCCTGCAATGTGTCAAACAACTGAGACATAAATATGGTAAATTACACTCATCTTATTTACATACTTGTCATAGGGTTTGGGTTTTTTTATTATTTTAGTTAACATCTTGGGAGGCAATATATATTAAAAGGCATTCCCTTTAAAATTCTTGACTTGGTTAATTGTGAGTATTTTGCTCTTTCCTTTCAAATTCTACCATTGCTGGTCTTTTTCTCTTTGCTTATTAAATAAGATGTTAATTTACTCATACTTTTAAAACATTAAAATTGCCAGCAACTTAGCAGAGAACTCAAAGAGCATTTGATCACGTTTGATAATACCAAATTCGGAAGGGCTAATATTCATTATTTAGACCTTGTTATGAAAAAAAGATCCAGTCCACAAAAAGAGAAATTGAAGGACCAGGAAGTCCAATGAATTGTTACAGTAGTTTTTCACCTCTGGAAAACTTAAATGATTTAATTTTAGTATATGCTGACAGTACTTGAGTGGGGAACAATGGGTTATTGAGCAATGTGAGTTGCTTGCTTCAATGTCATGGACAGATGATGAGCTATTCATCATCTTGCTAATAGTGTTGCTTTTTATTAAGGGGTGTGACAACAGAGAGCTCACAATGTGATCTGAAGGAGAGCCAGAGTAGATAGGTGTTGAACTCAAATAGTAGTAATAATAATAATGTTCCCATATAGTGCTTTTACTCCATATGTCTCCAAATGCACTTTAGACACAGGAGGTAAGCGTTATGATAATTACTGTTTTACAGATGATGAAACTGAGCACAGAAAGGTGAACTGACTTGTACAAAGTCATTCAAACAGGGTAGTACCACAGCCAGGAAGAGAATGCAAGTCCACTGCTCTGTCCACTAGGACACACCCCACCTCAGTAAACCTGAACATTTGGTAAGGATTCAAACAACTTAAGCAATCAGAATCTGTCTTATGAAAAAAGTAATCAGAAATTGGTTATAAAGTGAGCCCTTTTTCTTTAGCTTCCAGATTTGCACTAGTATTGTGGTGTAGGAAGGAATGAGGTTAGCTGGACACTAAGGTTTTTGTTAACTGGTTAAATTCCATAATATTTATTAAATAAATAAACTTGTCCATGTAATCTCAGGGTGACTATATCAGTATTATTTCCACCATGTAAACTGGATTGCCACAAAATTCAAAAACTGAAGATCAGGTGGTATTGAGTTGTTTGCTAATTTGAAACTCTATTGCCAAGCAACCCCCTTGAGCTATTTCCTCATTTCTAGTAAAATTACTAAGTTAAGTCCATAACATATCACTGCTATTTAGTAACATGAGGATAAATCCTCACGTGTTGAACTCTTGTACAACGGCAGATTGTGACCAACAGTGCAATTTACATAAGAATAGAACATAAGAACGGCCATACTGGGTCAGACCAAAAGCCCATCAAGCCCAGTATCCTGTCCTCTAATAGTGGCCAATGGCAGGTGCTCCAAAGGGAATGAACAGTCAGGTTATCATCAAGTGATCCATGCTCTGTTACCCAATCCCAGCTTCTGGCAAACAGAAGCTAGGGACACCATTCTTGCCCATTCTGGCTAATAGCCATTGATGGACCTATCTTCCATGAATTTATCTAGCTCCCTTTAGCACATAATTACAAATTGATTACATAGCCAGAGGTTCCATAAAAGAAGATGGTTCCAAAACATTAACATACTGATATGAACTTATTTTGCTATTGCTTGCTTGGAAATAACTATTCAGTCTAAAAAGAAGCAGCAGATGTTATGAAGTGACCTTTCAAAAATCTATGGGTATTTCCAAAATTACAATGTGCTAAATTCTATCCTCAGTTAAGCATGCAAAATTCAACAGAAGATGCACATGCTTAGTTGAGGAAAGGAGGACAGAAGTCCACCCAATATACTTAATTTAAAAAAGACAACATAAACCAGGTAAAGTGAGATTTTTGTTAAACAGTAACATTATCTTTTGTCATTAATGTTACAGCAAGCAAAATTATTCTACCAATAGGCAGCTCATCGTAAATATATACACTATGTAAGGCCCCAGCTCCAAAGAGTCTAAGGGTCAACAACTGAGGCTAGAAAGGAAAACAGAAAGGCTGTGATTGTGGAAAGTAAGTTACAGGGTAACAAACTCAGAAATGGCATGGGCCTAGAACGATTGAACAGGTTGTAGATTGGTTTGTTTCTTTAAATTGTATGTATATACCATAAACATCTTATAAAATAGAAATGTTGTCTTCATCCTACTTCTTGCGAGTGTTGCAGAAGGAGTTGATCGTAAGGAGGAATTTGAATGACAAGAGGAAGGTTGCCTGGCAAACCGAGTCTGTGAGGGAATTCCAGGCATGGGGATGGATATGGGGAAAGTGGATGACTGGGCACTGAGACCAGCATCATTGACAGACCAGAGCATGTGGGGTTTTTGTACACTTGTGATGACATTAAAGAGATAAGGTCAGATAAATACAAATTGCTTTAAATATCCCAATTTCAGTAATTCTATGCAATACTTTCTTGATTTACTTAGTAACTCTTTCCAACAACAACAACAAAAAAAGGGCTGGAGGTTGTTTTTATTTATTTTATATATAAAATGCAGCACAGAAATTTGATCTAAATTAGATTTGGTTATACCTGATTTGGTCCAGGCAATCACAGGAAGAGGATTACCATCTGCTTCACAGTGGAAATCTACTGTGCGCCCTTCTATCACCACCTGATTGTAAGGGCTCACTGTAAACTGCGGAGGAGCTGAACAGAAAAAAAAAACTTGACATTAACACACACTGCAGGTATAAATCATTTCATGTGCTTTCCTTTACTACCAAGGAAGAAAAGTGTTCTTTGTGTTAACATTTGCAGTACTGAAAGCAGCTAAAATAACTGGATAATATAGCTATGTATATAAAGCATAAACCCATTACCTTCAGAAGAACTTTTTACAATGTCACTAGAGTCACCACACAAAATTAAAAACTTGGGAGAACATGGCTTGCAAGAATGATGATCTGTCACAGGTCCATTAAGACAAAACTTTATTGTAATGAGTACAGCTGGGACTCTGAGGGCGAACAGTACACAGCTCTGGCTCCTATCAGAGTCTTCCTATTTATGGTGGATAGCAACAAAACATATTCCTAAAACCCCATCTCTAAGAGAACAGAATTCATGTCTCATAGCATCTTATGCAAAAATCAACAAAAGAAACATTCTGAAATCAAAACTCTTGTGTATGATAACAGCAGCAGTAAGGAACAACATGGAAGATTTCCACAATTCTTCCTCTGTCAGAGAAGCACCAAAGGTGAAAGCCAGACTTCATCTCATTAATCAAGGAGAAACTCTTTGTTTATGGTTCAAATGCTGCCCTTGAACCTCCGTATACAAAAATGCTAAGTACATGGATGGAGGCTACTGTTGCTGCCGGGGGATGGGCTTTATAGCTGATTGCTGGTAAAAGTGCTTCCCAACTCCTCTTTCACAGTGTGGTGAACTACAGGGCAATGCTGCTTTAAGTGGCTGTGGAAACACTGGTTCCCCAACAACATACCTTGTGGTGGGGAGAGGAAAGGACAACTGAGGAGTTACCTCAGATTAGGTAGGGGTGAGTAGAGGCAGCAGCAATGGAAGGACGGATGTGGGAAGGAGCAAATTACTTCTCCCTGCTACTCCAGCTCCTGCTTGGTTCTAGTAGTGACAGGATTTTGGGGCTGTTTTCCCTCCTCAACCAGTGGGTGTGATATAATGTGCCTTTCATAACATTATTCCTGCTTTAGATGAGAAAGTAAATGAGGATACAGCAGTAAAGATGGACTAAAACAAGAACCAGTTATCCAAATCCCCTTCCCCAAACTTGGAGGGTTTGTATGAAATGGGACCACCACTAATTTTAGTTTTGTAAAACAAAAAGCATTTTTTGCCATTGCTATAGCAGACAAAAGGCCAGAGTTAATGTAAAATAATCCACTGGAGAAAGAAGATGAAAAGAAAGTAGTTCATAGTTAGGTGTCCCTAACATCAACATCCAACCTTTCCATGCATATGTGTCTCACACCCCCTTAAGCTTTTGCTTTCTTTTTAACTACAAACAGTTAATGCAGATCTCAGTTTGTGGAGGTAAGTAATTCACCATGTGCTACACCTCCTTAAGAAGTGAATATGAATGCCATATTTCTTCACCTTTTCCCAGTTTCCCATTTCTCTGGGTGTTTTGATTCCTGATTTAAATTCAGGAAGACGACTTTCAGAAACTTCAAGCGACTGAAGTTAAACTTCAATTCAAAACACTGCAACTTAAGGTAGCTCAACTGATATTATTGCATGCTTCTTTTATCTTCTATTTTATAGATTTTTTTAAAATAAAAATTACTACTACTGATAATTATTTCCAGTAAATATGAATATATCATGATTGTGAGCTATGTGAATAAACATATCCTATTAAAAAAAAGTTTTCCCCCAAATCACTTTGCCCCAAAATGTATACTTCATCTTGACTTTGTTTTTGTGTTCCATTTTCTATATATATTTGTGTTCCCTCTTCAACATGCGTGTGTGTGTGTGTGTGTGTGTGTATGTATATATATAAACAAACTACTACTACCGTAATATCTCTGCTGAAGAGGAAATACAAACACAAAGTCAAGATGTAGCATTCTCTCTCTCTCTGTACATATATAAAACACCACACACAGCATGATTGTATGGTTATGGCATGCAGAGCCAGGCATTCAAACCACCTTATCTCTACCCTGTAGTCACACCATGTACCAAGCAAAAGATTATAATTAAAGCACTCTAGTGAATGTGGTGTCAAACTAGATGAAACTGACTTTTAAAAGATGAAGTTTTAACTCCCTGCCCCCTCCATTTATGGTGCTTGGTAAAGGCACAATTAAGGTAGTTTGAGTGCCTCAAGAGTGCATTTCAATACATTAACTGCTTTGGGTTCCTTTAAAATTTAACCTTAACTTTGAATTTCCTGTTTGGTTTGGGGATAATTAAAACATTCTTGTAATATGTTATACCATTAAGTTACTGATATGTCAGCTCAACCGGATCTCCACCTTCATTTTTTGCCTGTGAATATGCACTAGGCACCATTTAAAACTCAGCATCATTTGTCTCGGAAACCTGTAGTAACTACAAGCTCCCAAAGTTAGAACTAGTAATTCCATAGTGGCAGCATGATGTGAAAATGATGAAATGTTTAAAGGCAAGGATTCCATATGTCTATGAACAGAAAGATACACATCCTGCACAGAATTTTAGATTGCCTAGGAGAGCATAACTCCTTCGAGAATATTCACTGTCTATTCAGAATTCTTCCTCCAAATGAGCTGTCTTGAAAAAGGAATTATTATTAATTACCGCATCACAAACAAAAGATACTAATTATGCTCAAGGGAGATTCAAGAATGGCTAAGTACCATCAAGTGTAATGAGACTTTTGTCTAAGGTCCCAAACAACAATCCCATGTAGATTCTTCAGAAGATGCTATGGCAGAAAGCCATGTTGTAGGGTATTAATTAAAACAGCCAAAAGAGTTGGCTTAAACGTGAGCAAAACCCAGTACTAACTACAACCAGGAAAACAGAAGATTAAAATCCAAATGGATTTGTCATTTCCACGTTTCATCTCTTTTGTCACTGATTAACTTATGTTCTTGGGACACGACGTTTATAATCGGGTAAAACTGGCAGATGTATTGACCATTCTAAGGCAGGCCATTTGATGTTATAATACATTTGACTCTTTCACGCTCTCATTTATTGTTATAGAAAGCCCAGAAGCAGATTGCCAATGCTAAAAAATTCATGAAGTTACTTAAAACAATTTATTTCCAATGAGGAATCTTAGTATCAAAGTTATTAATTATTATTATTATTATTATGTTTATATTTATCACATGAACAGAGTTTTGTTATCTTACTAAAATCAATTAAGGCAAAACCTTTCTAGCCAGACATTATAAAGCTGCTTACTGGGAATGCATATTGATTTAATTAATTGAGTTTTGAGTGTTAAATATTGTAAGTCTTATATACTAAGCACCTGCCTCACATATTGATTTCAACTTTTGAATGGGAAACAAATTTTCAATTTTTATTTATCGCTTGTCTCAGCCAATCTATAGAGCAGATTTTATGTTATTCACTCTAATTGCTGCCACAATATATATGGATACTATAGTAATTGGAACAAAAAGAGGGAGCATCTGCTCAAATGACATATAAGCATAACATGTAAAACACAACATGAAATCTGTTCTCACTGTGAAATAAAAGAAGCCGCCTTTTGCATACCAGTTGGTTGACTAATGATCCAGCTAAAGAGAAATTAAAAAGCTACACACTGATACATAAAAGTAACAAGGAAGCAGAAAAGAATCTGGAAGGACAAACAGATGGCGATTTCTATCATTTGGTCTCTAAAGATGAAAAACTGCACTCTTTTGCTGGTGTTATCATAGGTTATGCATTATAAATAGTATACATCCAAACAAAGTAGTTCAAAATGCATATATAGGTTATTTAGGAAGGACACATAAGGATAGATAAGATGTGACATCGGTGGGAAATAATTATTTATTGCCAAGAAAAAATTAGAAGTAAAATAACCCAGAGATATTCATAATAATAATGGTAGCAGAGAACCCAAACAGGGAGGGATCAACAATTAAAGCCTACTGGAGATCTGTGATAAACCACTCGTTCATATGCTGTGTAACACAATTATGATAATTTGTGAAGAAGTACAAATTAGAGTAATAAAAATTATTTTAATCATTCAGACTATACCAAGACAAATTCAAAGCACAAACTGGGTATTTTTGAATATAATAATGAAAACCTTCCTGCTATCATATGAAGAAGATACTAGAGAAAGAGTAAAGATGATTTTGCTGTCATTTTTTATATTTTTCTTTTAAATGTACGTATTTTTGCCTTCATGATATTAAAAAACTTCAAACAGGAAGGCAAAGGCCGAATGATCAGAATTGTTTTTTTAAGACTTTCTATTTATTTTGATGCTTTGATAGTGAACACTTTTCTTTGCTCAAGTATTTACCGTTGTGTTTTTTTTCTGCCTTCCAAAGGGAGCTGCAAACCAACTGAAAGCTTGAAAGTTTATTGTAGTAGCCTCACAAAGGAACTCTTTAGCCATTTATGAAATAAAAATATGCATTTTCTTACAACACTTCTCTCACAAGAAATATCCCCTCAGCAATAGCAACATGCTATAGAGGGAATACTTTCCTCTATCCCTTTCTATGTAAGCATTCAAATCCAACCTCCCTTTCCTCCCCCAAATAAATTTGTGCTAAGACTGTGCCAATAGGATCTGCCCATAAAAGGCCAAATCCTATTTGCCTTCTACATGCCACATTCTCACTGGTTAAGTTTTGAAGTCAATTCCAGAAGCTGATTTACTTTATGATCTAGCAGTGGCCTTTGAGACACCACGACTTCTAGGCTTCTATGAAGTTTAGAAACAAAGGTGGTCATGTATCTTCTATTTGCAGCAGGTTGGTTTATTCATCATTAACATTACTGGGTCAATTCTGTTAAGTATTTTTGAACTGGTTGGCAGGGTTAAATTGATCTGAAGGGAGAAGAGAAATGCAGAGCTCTTTAATTAGACATATAAGAAATCATTTACTGGGACTGTACAGTGAATTTTTTAAAAGGCAATGGTGAAAAGTGAATGAAATAGTTTGAAGTACAGTGGGTGGGCAGTGATGTGGATGAGAAGAAGCAGAGTGGTACTCATCCCATGGAAGTTTTGATGGAATGTACTTATTCATCTGGCTCTGTACAGGAACTCTGGCCAACCAGTAAACAGAGAAAATAATTACCTCAGAACTTGAAACTTCTGGATCCATCTGGGAAGGCATCTTCCAGATGGATACACTGTCCTGTATGGACCATCACCACCAAGGCACAGATGGCTGCTTGAGCCCATGATTTAGGAGTTTGAAAATGGAGAGCATAATGGATAAATGACTTGGCAGACATATGTAACAGTGATTTATATACAGTATAGGATAGAGAGGAGAGAGTTAACAGTGTACAATAATTCCCAAAAATGTCTTGGCATGGGGCCTAGCAATCAAACTAGAGCAGCAGTTCTCAAACTGTGGGTCGGGATCCCAAAGTGAGTCGCAACTCTATTTTAATGGGATCACCAGGGCTAGCATTAGACTTGGGGTGGCCTGGGGCTGAAGCTCAAGTGCTTCAGCCCCGGGCAGTGGGGCTCGGGCTTCGGCTTCAGCTCTGGGCAGTGGGTCTCAGGTTACAGGCCCCCTGCCCAGGGCTGAATTCCTTGGGCTTCTACTTTGGTCCCCAACCTGGGGCTTGGGCAGGCTCAGGCTTCGGTTTCCCACCTTGGAGTTGTGTAGTAATTTTTGTTGTTAGAAAGGAGTTGCGGTGCAATGAAATTTGAGAACCGCTGAACTAGAGAGATGAAGATAGGAGACTTTGCCCTTTTTAGACAGAATTGAGCATGCCTTTGTGATTGATGAGAGTGGTGAGTAGTGTGAAAATGACAGGGACATAACAGGGAGACTAGTGAATTTAACCAATGAACTTGAAATAGTATATGCTTTGTGTATGGGACAGGGGAGTGTGCTGGCTAAAGCCCTGGCATTCAGGCAATTAAATGAGTCAGACATGAAGATCTGCTTATGACCTTCATGTGTATACGTAATTATTGCATGTTAACAGGACCAGAAAAAAAGAGGTGCAAAGATTGCTAGACAGACAGTAAATCTACCTTCTCTTTCTCGATCTCTCAGTATTCAAGTGAACCAGCAATGGCAGTCCATGAGGGTCCATGCACACGGTCAAAGAACACAAGGAAAGATTTTAAATGTCTTAACATTTTTTGGGCCTGCTTACATTCTGTATGCTCTCTTTCTCTCCCTAAAGTGCTTCTCAACTGACTCTGAGAAGATCATAGCCACATTGATTTAGATAGGCAACCTACTGATTATTATACCTAGATCATCCATCCAGGAATTGAAACTGTACCTGGTGAGATTTTCAAACCATCTGTGTTGACCTAACTCGGCCCTTGTTGATGTCAATGGAAGCCGAATTAGCCCAATGGGGAGCACTTCAAAACTCCCACCCACAATGCAATTTAAGTGACCAAACATACAGCATAAATAGCAAATTGCAAACAATAAATATTTAGAGAGGGTATTTTGTAAATAATCCAAAGGCTAAACTGGTTGGAAGAAATGGCTCAAACAATTCAAAACAGTGAAATAAATATTTAAAAATAATTTCTTCATAAATAATTTCTAAAGAGAAAAAAAGAATAACAAAGAATGTATATCCAGCTCTGTTCCAGACTGTGGACATTTTCTGCCATAGTAATTGGAGATTTTTAAGAGCAGATTAGACAAACACCTGTCAGGAATGGTCTAGATAATACTTAGTCTTGCCTTGAGTGCAGGGGACTGGATTAGATGGCCTCTCGAGGTCCCTTCCAGTCCTACAATTCTAGGATTCTGTGATGATAAGCATGGCATAAAAACATACCATTACATTCAATTAATTATTGCAACTCATATCTAGGAATGAATCCTCACACACTGAACAAGCTCCAATGGGTGTAAAACACATCAGTTTGTCTGCTTAGCAATACAGTTCACCATAAACACATCACCCCAATGCTCAGCTCTCTGCACTGGCTCCCCGTTGAATACAGGGTCAGGTTCAAGGTGTCCAGCCTGATCATCAAAGCCACCCCTGGGATTGGCTCTAGCTACAGGTATCTGAGACATTGCATCTCCCTCTGCCACAATGACTTTCTCCGACATCTATGATCCATCAGCACAACAAAGCTGTTGAACAATGGGGGAGATTCATGACTGCAGGAAACACTGTGGAACTAGATTGCAGTACTGGGACCCATAAGGGACCACAAAACTAACCACTTTCAGAACAAAATGCAAAATTTGTTTATTTGACTTAGTTTTCCCTAAGTAAGTTTTTCCACACACACCCAAAATGCACATTCATACACAAGTAAACAAGCCAAACCCCTCTAAAACTAATCAAGTTATTTTCCTTACTGGCTAGAAAGAGGGTTTTGGAGTTTTTTTTTTTTTCATTTTTAGACACTGTGGATCATATAAGTACCAACCTAAATAGCTAAAAAATTGTTTACCCAACTGCTTATATAACTATTAGGTCCTAAAATGGACTGTCAGGTTTGATCAAAGTTAACTCAAATGGTTGTTAGACTGTAGCAGGGGTAGCTAAATGATGCCTTGCACACCTTTGACTATTCTGGGTGTAGCTGTGTTGGTCAATGTTGGTCTTCCCTGACTTTATACAGCCAGTGTAAAATATTCTCAAATAAACAAGCCAAATTCATTCCTTGTGTATCTCTACTAGAGTCAATGGAGTTACTTTACACCAGTGATGAATTTGGCTCAGTGTTCTACTAATAAATATTGAATGCTTGAAATACTAATATATAGTTCCAATAAATGTATTCCTGAGGGCTCAGTTCTGCCCTTAGATAGGTATACACGTCTACTGTTCAGTCAACAAGTACCGTGTACATGTGTTTCTGAGGCAAAATTTGACTGACAGGCATATTGGTATAGACCAGACAACAGATTGCAAGACAACAAAGAGTCCACATTTTCATCATACAATTCAAAGCACACATCTTAACACACGACCAGAAAGCTACGTTTCAGGCTTGAGCCATGGAAATCTCAGCAGCAGCTTCATCTTCCACTTACCTTGTACAATAATAATTGCTGATGCTTGGACAGAGCCCTGGTTGTTACGAGCATGGCAGATAAACTGATTGTGGTCCTGCAATGTGATGTTCTGAATGAAAAGTCCTCCAGAAGAAGTGATGTTGTACCTGGATTCATCCAGCGACTCTCCATTTCCTCTCGTCCAGCTGATGTGAGGTTGGGGGTGGCCTGTGGCCATGCATTCCAAAGTGGTTCTGGTGCCAACTAAGACCTCTGTATTCCGGGGTTGAATGATAAAACTGGGCTTGGCTAGGGAAGAAAGAAAAACAAGGTGAAAGGGGGCTTTAATTTCCACCTTTTCAAACTAAACTGCTATGCTACTCTTTGAGTAAGGATGATCTTTCACATAAGGCACTGGTTTAAGACGCAGAAGATTGAAGTTCAATTCTCAAGTCTGCTGCAGACTTCCTGGACGGCCTGGGGAAAATTACATAATGTCACACTGCCTCAGATCCCCATCTGTAAAATGGGAATGACAACACTTCCTTTCTCCCACTTCTAGTCTCCTTAAATTTTAAGCACATCCACCAGGGATTCTCTTACTGTGTGTTTGTAGAATGCAAAACAAAATAGGGCCCTGATCTTGATCAGGGTAGTACTGTAATTCAGATTAAGTTTGTATAATTTTTCATATTATTAAGTGAATACTTACTAAACCTCAAGTTGAGGTTTGGGGATGCTTTAAGGAATATATTTGAGGATTAAAAATACATATATTTTTATTCAAGTGAATGAAAAATGTGTTTCCAAACTAGACAAAATGCAAAGAAGCAGGAAGTATTTACTTGGAACACTGGAGTATCTGAGGAAAGCACTCTGTGTCTTGACTTCGCCTGCCACATTCCGGGCCATACACTGATAGATGCCTTGGTCAGATTCTCGGGTATTCTGAATCATGAGGGTCCCATCTTCAAGCAAATTCAACCGCCTGTCATCTTTCATATCCAACGAGTGGCTGAAAATAGAGGAGAACTCTGACAAGTTATCTTTGTCAAACCTGCACATTTTGGAACACTTCTATCATCTTACAAATTAAGAAAAAGACACTGAATATTTTGGGGAAAGTATAAAGACCAGATCCTGATGACAAACAAGTGCATTTATTATAAATTAATAGATCTGCATATTATGCAATTGGAATTTTATACTTGGGATAGAGGATAAATTAATGATACTGGGACCATGCATATGTTTTGATGCAATGTTCAGCTTCTAATTATGGGTCTAATACTGTGAGGTGCTGCCACCCTCATCTCCCAGTGAAGACAATAGGAGAGGAGGGCTCTCTGTACCTTGCAGGAATGAGCCCTCTGTTAAGTTCTTGAATTTATTTTGATTTTGTTTAATTAAATGGTATAAATTGTCCCTGGTTCTAACAGTCCAAAGTAGCAAGATTTATTGTACATGGTCGCATCAAGGTTACCTGGGTTTGGTCTGGGTCCTGAGGAGAGCACAGGTATTGTATAGCCACTGCTCCCCTCTGTGGACAAGTGGGGAGGAGACAGGAGTGGATTATGACTCTGCCTTTCCCTTCCCCAGTGGCGTTGGCTAGACACATGACGATAAGTGAACAACACCCTTTACAACACTGCAGTCAATTATTTTATCCTAATGCAAGATGGACGAGGTACTTTGGGATGAACTGTGATGCATTTACATGCTACCTCTTACTCAGGGCTGCCATTAAACACCACGTTCTAGCACGAGTTTTGTTTTTAATTGGCAATTGTTCTTTTAATTTTGCTGTGACCATGCTGGATTTGAGATTACACACCAGAAGAGCATTTGTTTACTCATTTGGGGCATCAGTATTGTTTGCTCAGGGCAAAATTTCTTTGTTCCTTTTTTCTGACTGATGCAGTGTGACAGTTTCTTATGAAAGTAACTTTCAAAAATGGTCATCAATAAATTAAATTTTAAATTAAAATTTTAGTTTGCTTAGGCAGACTGGAATAGTGTGGTTTTAACAAGGTTCTGCAGTGTTTGTAAACAATTACCCATCTAGGTTGGCTACTGTAGATTTGCAAAAGGACATTCAAGACACGTAGCCAGTAGTTTCTTCCGAAGCAACTTCCCTGCTGGGCAACATGGTGTGACTATGATACAAGCAGCGTAAACCCACTGAGTGACTCTTCTGGAACAGTTTGTATCGTGGTTGGGAGTATATATATTTTTCCTCACAAAGCTTCAGTTATAGCCGAATTAATTAAAAATTTTTTTTTTAAAAAAAATCTGAGTTTCAAACTACAATTAAGTATATTAAGTGACAATAGTATACTTATCTATAACATCTTTGACAAAAAGCAAGCACTTTAAATAAAGAATAATAAGCATTCAGAGGCAATTTTAAGGACAAAAGGACATCATAAATATTGCACATCTTACATGATAAAAGAGACATTATTTTCTCAAATATAAAGAAATGCATATTTCTTCACAACCATCTTGGATTATTTTTAAAAAAATTGATTATTTTTGTTACCCTGTTTGCAGTATCTAAATATTTTATTTTGAGGGGCTTTTTAAATGGTGGAAATGTCAGTTAATCTATTTATCAACTAACAGCAGAAGTTCTGGGTAAATTACTTATGTAATTACTGATTCTTGAGAATAATGACAGATGTGTGGTTTGAAGTGTGAGCACATTCAATTCTTTATTGAGTATCACTTTTCATAACCGTGAGCGCTCGGGTGAATAAATGGTCAATTTCAAACTTTTTGAAGGAAATTATTTTTTTTAAACATATAGGGACCTTCAGCTGAATCGCCTCCTTGCCTTTATGACATCAGATAGCAGCCCAGCTCCAGCCTGGTTCAATTCCTTTAAAGCCACGCCTAAAAGCAGGGAAGGGGAATGAAACACCTGTGTCCCTCACAACACACACAAAGACCTGGTACATCTTAATGGTTGAATAAGCTACCCAAAGAAGAGAGGTAGTTGGGAGAAAGTGGGGAGGTTGCTATCGGAAGGGAGAGGCAGAAGTGCTACAGATCTCTCTCTGTTCTTGCCCCTTGCCCAGAAACAGTTTTGGAGTTAAAATGAGAAACATGCTGCTTCCAGTAATAGTAGACATGGGTTGGGGGATGAGGGGAGTGAGAAGTGGGAGGCAGTCATATTTGGGAATACTTGTGACAGCCCCCACCCCCTATTCCTTTAAGAATATGGGACAGCCTGCTGAAGAACAAACCCTGAGTACATGCGGAGATGGACTAAGCATGTACTCAAATGCGTTTCTGAAAAGAAACATCAGTGTGCACTTGGCAAAAAATACACGATCATTAGATAGAATGCACAGCACAGCCTATCTTGATTCAAACAGGGGAAAGATGTGTGATGGGGTATGTAAACTCCACAGAAGGGGTTAAGGAGCAGTTATGGGCCCAGGTAGCTCCACCCTGCTGCACCTGCAGAGCATGCTCCAGCTGGCGGAGGAGTTTAAAAGAGCGCCAGACAGGAAAGGAGGAGACACCTATCTTGGGAGCTCCTGAGTAAGGGTGCAGCATTACTCCTGGCTGCAGGAGAGAAAACTGCAAGTGACAGCTGCCCAAGGGAGGGACTAGTCTTTCCCTAGGACTAGGCAACTCTTCATTCCATCTTCTGGTGGATCATTTGGAAGGCTTTTGACCACACCCTGGACTGGGAAGCGAAGTGGTAGGAAGCAGCTGAGGGAGACTACACCTCAGTATTTGATATTGCTGCCTCTCCTAGGGTCCTGGGCTGAAACCCATTGGAGAGGGAGGGTCTGAGCTCCACTACCAACCCCCCTCTTGCAAGGGGACAAAACCCCTTTTCTCCCAGAGAAAAGGGGAATAGAAACATTTAAGCACTGAGGATAGGGCGTACACCCCACAGTAGCTTGCACGTTTGGCTGAGACTCTTTTGTAGGGAATATTGTACTTGTACGTAGGGTCTGAATGAGCTTTCACCTGACATCTAGTGATGAGCCAGAGGAAAAGACTTCCCGGAGCAGACCATGTTTGCACAGACACCTACTCTGCCGAGGTGCACAGCTGCTTTGCCAAAATGATCAATTTTGGCAGGTTTGGGGTTACAAGCCACTCTTGTATTTGAATGTAGGGGTAATGAAATGTTGTGATCCTCACTGTATGAGTAAAGGGCAGCAGAACTGTGCTTAGCATGCCCAGATTGAGGGGGTCACCCTAAACTGAACCTCACCTGCTACGCAGGGATTAAGGATGTCAAAGCCCAGTGAGGAGGAGAGTGGGAGGGGTCAGGAATCTGTCTAATGAGTCCTAGATGCTGTTGGACCTGCTCTTCTCCATCATTTAATGGCAGAGTTGATTGAACTCAACTGAGAGTCATTGTTTCTGGCAGAAAGAAAAGGAGTACTTGTCGCACCTTAGAGACTAACAAATTTATTTGAGCATAAGCTTTCGTGAGCTACAGCTCACTTCATTGGATGCATGCAGTGGAAAAATATAGTGGGGAGATTTTATATACATAGAAACATGAAACAATGGGTGTTACCATACACACTGTAACGAGAGTGATCAGGTAAGGTGAGCTATTACCAGCAGGAAGGAAAAAAACAAAAAACCTTTTGTAGTGATAATCAAGGTGGGCCATTTCTAGCAGTTGATAAGAACATGTGAGGAACAATGGGGTGGGGGGAATAAACATGGGGAAATAGTTTTATTTTGTGTAATGACACATCCACTCCCAGTCTTTATTCAAGCCTAACTTAATGGTGTCCTGTTTGCAAATTAATTCCAATTCAGCAGTCTCTCATTGGAGACTGTTTTTGAAGTTTTTTTTGTTGAAGAATTGCCACTTTTAGGTCTGTAATCGAGTGACCAGAGAGATTGAATTGTTCTCCAACTGGTTTTTGAATGTTATAATTCTTGACGTCTGAGAATTATTGTTAAGAGGAACCCCAAGACATTGAAGCCAGACATTGTTGTTGCCAACTCCACCTGACAAAAGGGTTACGGACTTCTATATATTTGGTTAGACTCTGTTACCTACGCCTCCCCAGAAGGGGGTTGGCTCCACTGGTGAACTTGCCGAAGTGCCTAGTCATTGTGTACCAGAAGAGAGACCTCCACTGCACTGGAGCAACCACCAGCAGGCAACACAAGAGATGGGGTGAGGCATGAGCCAGGTACCTAACCAGTATGCAGTACCACAAGTAGCTACAGCCTGACACAGCGTGCTAAAAATCATAGAAGAATAATCGATCTGGTTGAACATTTTCTGACAGAACAGTTTTCTGTCTTAAAATGTTGATTCAAGTAAACTGAAATGTTTCACAGAAATATATCACTTCAGCCAAAATCTTTGTCAGGAAATTATTGAAACATTTCATTTCAATAAGGATAAAATCTTTTCTTTCTATTTTATCATTTTGACCTTTATGTTTAAAACTTAATTTGTACAACAATTTTAAAATTATATTATAATTTTAAAGACAACATAAAAATTAAGTTTTAAACATAAAGGTCAAAATGATAAAATAGAAATTTTTTGATAACAAATTAAATGAAATATTTTGGAATATTTTATTTTGCAAATACTGTTTTCACTTTTTGTTCCAATTTGTCCTGAAACCAAATTTTGAAATCTCAGAATTTCCCACAGAATGAAAATAACATTTTTCAACTAGCTCTCCATATTAACTGACAGACTGAAGACAAGGACTCACACTCTTAGCCAATGCCCATCAGACTTGGCAATAATACCTCCTAGACAAGTCACTTAATCATTCTGTGCTCTAGTTAGACCATCTTAAAAATGTGTCTCAATGTTTTCATATTACATAGTGTTTTTTTCATCTGTAGGTCTCAGAGCACTCTGGGTAAGTAAGCATGATTAGTCTGATTTTGCAGTTGGCTTCACTCAATACAGATATCTGAAGCAATTTCCATGAGGCATTACGGTCTATTGGATAAAACATGAATCAAGTGCCTCAAGCTGTGTCTACACTGCAACTGGTACAACACACATGGGAATACCTGAGCTAGCTTTGACTGAGCAAGCTTGCCTAAAAATAGCAATGTAGTGCAATGACACAGGCAGCAGCACAAGCTAGCCACCTGAATACATAGCTAAAGTCCTGGCTGGGCTTGTACTTGAGGGCAAGCCTGTGCCACCAGCCCTGCTGTTGTGGTTACTGGAATATGTGCTGCAGTCACAACTCCCAGTTGCAGTGTAGACCTACCTGTAGAGATCAGAGTTCTATTTATGGCTCTCTCACAAGCATCCTATGTCACCTCTGGCAAATCATTTTAACTTTCTGTTTCTCAGCTACCTCATCTGGAAAATGAACCTCTGCACATTGCACCTAAGGCATGGGGGAGTTCTGATGGAAAATGCAAGGGAGGAGGCATTTTAAAGGACCCTGGAGTTCACTCTCATTTTTAAAAGTAGGCCAAGGTAGCATAGAGATCAGTGAAGAAGGTATTAAATAATAACTTTTCTCCCCCATGATTTTCATTGAAAATAAATTGTGTTGAATTTTCATAACCAGTCTCCTACAGAGTGACTTAGATTAGAAAAAACACACAAACTCATTCTAGATTGCTAGTCCACAAACCCAGGTGTTAACAATAATTAGCATTTGAAAATAGACTAGTATACATGTGCAAAGATTGGTTAAGATTTACTTGTTATGTATCCAAATTATCTTGGGTTTAGGATTTCCTTCCGCTTTGCAGGTAAAGTAGACAGTATTCCCTGGGGTAACATCTGCATCCCGTGGCTCAGAAGTAATACGAGGTTTCTCTGCGAGAAAAAGGAAAGGGTAAGAACAAAAGACATCAAAAAGTTTAATCCTGACTTTTGGAAGGAAAACAATTTTTCAACATGATCTAAAAACACGACTAGAGGTTTTGTTGGGAAAATGACACAGCGTACACTAAGCACCCACTCTTGAAATCAGATTTGCTAGTGCGAGTCTTAAGTTTTGCAGTTGGTAAATAATTAATAAAATATTTGTTTAAACTCTGACTTGTGCCTAGTAAATGTAAATTATCTTGTTTAGAAATTCAAAAAATGCTGTTTTTCTAAAACACTCCACAACATTTGCATCCAGGAACCTATAATGCAATGATTCTTTTTTTAAGTTAATTGCTAAAGGAAAGATGCAACGATAGTTGGGAGAAAAGTGACATTTTGTATTATTATTATTGACTCTAGACATGATAAAAATCACCTTAAAGAAGTTTCACTTTCTGATCATAAACTCCTCAGGACTGATTTTTTGTATGGTACTGAGTATTTTCTTACAGCTCCATATATAACAAATAAATTAAAAAAACAGTAAAACACGTAAAATAAAAATATATATATATATATATACTGGATGCCATTGAAAAATGTCTATTGGACTGAGAAGGATTTTTGATTCTATCAGTATTTCCCACTTTAAGAAAAAATAATCTTTCATATACTGGTAGAATCTTTCAAAATGGAAAAGAAAAAAACCCCAACCTTTAAAATGTGACCATTGTATTTTCAAGCAATTTACATAATCACATTCATATGTTATTCAGTATTAGGATCTAGGATCTGGTTAGTCTATTCTCTTATTTTGGTGAATCTATTTATGTATGTTCTTGTTTATATAGTCTGTAAAATCAAAACTTTTTTAGTTACTACAGAAGAGAAAATGCTTCAAGTTTAGAAAGAAAATGTGCCAGTACACTAGAGCTGGTCAGGAATTTTCTGTCAGAAAATGCCTTTTTTCCACAATCAAAATTTGCTGTGAGAATTTTATTTTTCCATTGTGAAAATCCAGATGTCAGCTCCTCAGCTGTCTGTCTGGAAGAGTCCTGTTAATTTCACTTTCTACAGGCTGCTGGCAAGCTCAAAATATAAGTTTCAGTTTTCCCAAAATTGAATTGTTCTGAAAATTCCTTCTTGTGAAAAAAATTGCAGTTTTGACTTTTTGTCATGATTTGGGATGATTTTTATTTCAGAAACACACAAAATTGATCATGGGAAGGGATTTCAATTTCTAGTCAGATCTACAGAACATTAGTTTGTTTCTAAAATAGCAGGACATTATGGGTTCAGGTTACCTGTAGATTATTATACTTGTAGATTTGATACGCATTGTTAGTAACATTTTGCAAGCATTTGCACTAATGTTAACTGCCTGCTTATTTTATATAGCTTACTGATTGTAAAACCTGTACATGAGAATTTTCCTCTTTCAGTATTACAGAAATATATTGGCCAATACATTACCTTGTATTGATGCTTTCAGACATAAGCTTCACAGTCATGAGACAAACATACACATTTTAGTCAATGTAAAGCAGAAAGGGTCTTAATCAGAGTTGGTCAACGTTTTTGAACAAAAGCTTGTTCAATTTTATTAAAAAATTGGCTTCACAAAAAAAATGTCAATATATATATATATATATATGTAGGTCTTGCGTTTTTAATAAAATGATATCAAAATTTTACATTTATCTAAAACCAGGTTTTCAGAAAATGAAAAGTTACGATGACCATTATGACAGGTTTCAGAGTAGCAGCCGTGTTAGTCTGTATTTGCAAAAAGAAAAGGAGGACTTGTGGCACCTTAGAGACTAAAATTTATTTGAGCATAAGCTTTCGTGAGCTACAGCTCACTTCATTGGATGCATTCAGTGGACCATTATGATAGTGTTTTCAATAATGTTCTTTAAAAATTATGAAAAATGTGGTTAAAACCAAAATTATGTCCATTCCAAACCCATCAGAATGAAAACAATTTTAAAATATTTCCCAAAACTAGTTTTTCATTCAGCTCCATTTTGTAGTAAGATACCTAGTAGATGACACTGGTATTAGATTAACCAGTCAATGTAAAGTCGTCATATCCTACCACAGACATTTTGAAGGAAACTTTCATTGGCTTAACAGGAATTCTATTACAGTATGATAGTTGGATATGGCCTAGAAAGGCTGTAGTTAAGAGTGGCACTACATTGGGACTAAATTCATGAATATGTACAGTCTGGTTCACCCTAGAACAAAACTCCTTAAAATGTAATATTGTCATGTTCATTTTCCTCTGGCTGTGATATTTGCTTCCATGACACCCTGTGATAGCTCACAATGATAAAAGCGCTCTCTCTCTGAGTTACATGTTTCAGTGCATGTAAGGGAGGAGGTGGATGGAAGAACATGCTTTGGAAGCAGAAATTTTAATTTTAATTAACATTTTAATATCTTGAAACAGTAAGTACCTTAAAACTCCCATAATAAAACTGGGATGTCTGGTCACCTTAATCTAGCATAAAAGCACATAGAAGTAATAGGCATTAAATTAGACTACACTGCTAATCACTTAACATTTTACATTAATTTAATTTGAACATAATTGAGTTTTTGATTAAAGGTTTCAGAATACTTCACTTATCAATTAAAATCTAGAAGTGACAGATGTTCAGACAGACATTACAACTTTCACAGTAAATTGCTTATTTTTCTGTAGCTTTCTCTGCTGCCTATAATCCTTCCATTAATTTTTTTCATCTCTTAATCACATCTTTTCAGCCACATACACAAAGACTAAACTTTGTCTAGGTTAGTTCAGGTCCCAAACTAACCTAGACAAAAACATCTTTAAAAGATAGTTAGTATAGTTAGACATATTTAATTCAAAATCAATAAATCTAGTATCTTGGTATCCATAGACTCAAATTCTAGTTGACATTGCTCCAAGGAGCACCCTCGAGGAACCATAGAGATGAGATGGGTCATTCAGATTCTGCCTTCTATTAAGAGTTACAGAGAGACCATTCTGCAGGACATAAGAACACAGTACTCATGGAGGAATTCTGCACCACTGCGTGCACTCAGAATTCATGTCCCCTGGACATTTCTTTGCTTCCCTACAGAAAAATGACTTTGACAGAGAAGCAAAGGGAAGTTGCAAAAGCAGTCACACGCCCCTCCCCAGAAGTGCAGGCATGTAGGTTTGGGCTCCTGGAGCAGTCAGCGGAGAGGTAAATCACAGTGGTGGGGGATGGCTGGAGATGCCCCAGCCAGTGGCTCCTACCCTGCGCTGGACTCAGCGCCTCTTCTCCTGCAAGCAGCATCTGGGGTCAGGTCAGATCCACCCCCAGAAACCTCCCCTGACTGCAGGAAGATCTGCACGCCCTCTCCCAATTCCTGACCCCATCACTCCACAGCCGTGGGGGGGGGCTCACTGTATGAGGACCTGCTCCCCCATCTTGCCAACCCCATGCATCTGACCGCTCCCCCGACCGGCACCCAGAACCCACACCCTGCCAAATCTCACCCTCTGCATCCGGACCCCCACCCCTGCACCCAAGCCACCTCCCACTGAGCCCCTCGCACTCAATTCCCACTCCACTAAGCCCAATGAGCTGCACCTGGACTCCCATCCCACCAAGCCCTGCTTCCTCAGCACCCAGACCCCTGCTTTGCTGAGCTCCATCCCCCCACACCCAACCCCCCTTTGCTGAGCCCCAAACACCTTCACCTGGACCCCCCTGCAGAGTCGAACCCCCCTGCACCCAGAAAACCCCAGAGAGCCCCTGTGCATCCAGATGCCCCCCAAACCCGAGCGACCCACACTCAGATTGCCTCACACAAAGCCCTCTCACCCCACACCTGGATTCCCCCCACACTTGGATCTTGCAGGGCGGACCCTGCTTGCCCCACATCTGGATCAGGGGGCAGGGATGGGCATGCATGCAAGACTTGGTCCCTCTTGCTTGCTATCTTGGTGTGCCTAGCAAAGAGGGGCAGGGCCCAAGGTGTTTCTGGGGCAGTCCCGGCCCTTGCGCTGTGTCTGGGTTGGGTGCAGTCTCACCGCTGAGTCTATGTCCTGGGGGTTGGGCTGCAGGGTGATCTCCCACCTCCATGCAGCCAGTGGCCCATGGCTCCCCAGTGCCACGTTGGAGACTCCACATTTATTTATTGACAAATAAAGTGTGCAGAATTTTAAAATAACGTGCATAAAAATTTTATTTTTTGGGCAGAATTCCCTCAGGAGTTGCACAAGAATGATCATATCTGGACAGAGCAGTGGTTCCTTATCTGGGTATCCTGTCTGAAACAGCAGTCAGTACCAGATGCTTGGGAAGGAAATGCAAGAAACTCTGTAATGAACAACAGTGAAATAAACTGCCCACAAAGTAAGCTACTTCCTAACCACAGGTAGACAACTTTTCTCTGAGGCTTGGTATTCTTGGAACAAATGGTGTAACTACGGTCCCCTGCATTATCAGTTATTACTATTTCAGAATTGCCCAGGCATCAAGGCCTTTTAGAAAACTAGAACATAGAATCATAGAATATCAGGGTTGGAAGGGACCTCTGGAGGTCATCTAGTCCAACCCCCCTGCTCAAAGCAGGACCAATCCCCAGTTAAATCATCCCAGACAGGGCTTTGTCAAGTCTCACCTTAAAAACTTCTAAGGAAGGAGATTCTACCACCTCACCAGGTAACGCATTCCAGTCTTTCACCACCCTCCTAGTGAAAAAGTTTTTCCTAATATCCAACCTAAACCTCCCCCACTGCAACTTGAGACCATTACTCCTTGTCCTGTCATCTTCTACCACTGAGAATAGTCTAGAACCATCCTCTTTGGAACCACCTCTCAGGTAGTTGAAAGCAGCTATCAAATCCCCCCTCATTCTTCTCTTCTGCAGACTAAACAATCCCAGTTCCCTCAGCCTCTCCTCATAAGTCATGTGTTCCAGTCACCTAATCATTTTTGTTGCCCTTCACTGGACTCTTTCCAATTTTTCCACATCCTTCTTGTAGTGTGGGGGCCCAAAACTGGACACAGTACTCCAGATGAGGCCTCACCAATGTCGAATAGAGGGGGACAATCACGTCCCTTGATCTGCTCGCTATGCCCCTACTTATACATGCCAAAACGCCATTGGCCTTCTTGGCAACAAGAGCACACTGTTGACTCATATCCAGCTTCTCATCCACTGTCACCCCTAGGTCCTTTTCCACAGAACTGCTGCCAAGCCATTCGGTCCCTAGTCTGTACCTCTGCATGGGATTCTTCCGTCCTAAGTGCAGGACCCTGCACTTGTCCTTGTTGAACCTCATCAGATTTCTTTTGGCTCAATCCTCCAATTTGTCTAGGTCCCTCTGTATCCTATCCCTACCTGCCACCGTATCTACCACTCCTCCTAGTTTAGTATCATTCGCAAATTTGCTGAGAGTGCAATCCACACCATCCTCCAGATCATTTATGAAGATATTGAACAAAACCGGCCCCAGGACCGACCCTTGGGGCACTCCATTTGATACCGGCTGCCATCTAGACATGGAGCCATTGATCACTACCCATTGCGCCCGACAATCTAGCCAACTTTCTAACCACCTTATAGTGCATTCATCCAGCCCATACTTCTTTAACTTGCTGACAAGAATACTGTGGGAGACCGTGTCAAAACCTTTGCTAAAGTCAAGAAACAATACATCCACTGCTATCCCTTCATCCACAGAATCAGTAATCTCATCATAGAAGGCGATTAGATTCGTCAGGCATGACCTTCCCTTGGTGAATCCATGCTGACTGTTCCTGATCACTTTCCTCTCGTGTAAGTGCTTCAGGATTGATTCCTTGAGGACCTGCTCCATGATTTTTCTGGGGACTGAGGTGAGGCTGACTGGCCTGTAGTTCCCAGGATCCTCCTTCTTCCCTTTTTAAAGATGGGCACTACATTAGCCTTTTTTCCAATCGTCCGGGACTTCCCCCGATCGCCATGAGTTTTCAAAGATAATGGCCAATGGCTCTGCAATCACAGCCGCCAACTCCTTTAGCACTCTCAGATGCAACGCATCCGGCCCCATGGACTTGTGCACGTCCAGCTTTTCTAAATAGTCCCTAACCACTTCTTTCTCCACAGAGGTCTGGCCACCTACTCCCCATGCTGTGTTGCCCAGCGCAGCAGTCTGGGAGCTGACCTTGTTCGTGAAGACAGAGGGCTAAGAGAATAAAAAAAACCATCAAGGTGTAATGGCTAGATTTCTTCAATTGCCTGAAGAAACTCAGAGTTACTGCAACCTTTCACAAGAATGTACTGCTGTTGCAACTAGCAACTTTCCCTTTTTCCGTGTCTGTGAATGAATGAATTAAAAACGTATTAAATTAATATCAAATATTGATATGTTTGATCTGCCAGATACAGTAGTAAAATGGGGAAACATGATGTAATCTAATTTTGTAATTAAAATATTCATGAAACGGAAGTCAACTGAGTGATACAGCTCCGGGCAAAATACTATAAACTTTAATGCCAGGGTTTACCTCATGGACAATCGTTTCGGTGTTTATTTTAGTTAGTTAGGAGTGTTAATCAGATCCTGGGGTTAATATAATTTATTGGGAAATAGGTAACAAGGGTGCCTACTATAGATCAATTGGGAAGGAGACCTGACTGAACTGGCATGTAAGTAACTGACTACATTGTTTTGTGATCTAGCTTTGGATTGTGTTTCTTCTGCGTTAGCACTGCCAGAGTTGACAACCAGCTGACACAAGTGAAGACCTATACTGAGGAACTCTTAGTCAAAATTCTAAACAAAGTCAACTTCCCACCAAAGTGACTGTAAAAAGAAAAAGGAGTACTTGTGGCACCTTAGAGACGAACAAATTTATTTGAGCATAAGCTTTCGTGAGCTACAGCTCACTTCATCTGATGCATCTGATGAAGTGAGCTGTAGCTCACGAAAGCTTATGCTCAAATAAATTTGTTCGTCTCTAAGGTGCCACAAGTACTCCTTTTCTTTTTGTGGATACAGACTAACATGGCTGCTACTCTGAAACCTGTCATAGTGATTGTGTATGAGTTATTTTTACTATGGTTGTGTGATTTAATTCTAAAAAATGGTTATATAGATTTTTTTTTAGTTTGGTAGCCAAATCATAATCTAATACTATTTTTGCCTTATGATATCTTATGCTATTAGTTGCTATAGTTAAGGGTATTTAATAACCTCTATAAAACTACATTCAACCCTCAAGTCCCTTTCTTTAGTTAAACCATCAAGATTAAAATAATCCTACGAAAGGTGTACAGGTAATGAGTTAAGCAGTTGTTTACTGCTTTGTTTTATACTATCTTTCTTGCAACATTTTATTTCTACCAAATGAAACAGTGAATAAAATGTTATTGCTTAATATACAAGTCTAATCCTATTTTTAAATCCTGTTCTTTTGCCTCAGTCATATCTTGTGGCAAAGAGTTTCACAGTATAACTTATATACATTCTGAAAAAGAAAATCTCCTTCATCCACCTTAAATCCAATGCCTTTTAATTTAATTGGATGTTTTCTAGTTCTTGTATTATTAATTATTATTATTATAAGTATGTAGTGCTTTTCTGCCCTTCATGTTCATATGTGGCCAACATGACCAGATAATGGCTCCCCATGCAAATTATTCCTTTTATTACCATGGACATCATTACTATCATGGTGAAAGAGGAAGGGCGAGATGGATTGACAGATAGAACAACACACCGTGGGGCTTTGGGGGGATGCTGGCCCCAGCCAGTATAACAAAAGAAAAAAAATTAATGCTCCTCTTGAACTGCATTATTATGCCTATTTGCAAGAAGGGAGGAATTCCACTCTCTTTCCAGATATCTCCAGCATTTGGTTCACACTTAGAAAACACTACATAAACAAATTTCTCTATCTGAATTTACTTTAAAACATGACATGAAACCATGTCTTCAAACTGACATTCCTTGATAGAAAAATACAATCCAAGATATAACTTTCCACAGAGAAATTAAGTATCGTTGCAAACTTAACTGTGGAGTCTCTACTGAACAACACATACACACAAAATCCAAGACCCTGCAAATAATTATTGATGTCCTTTTCTTTACACATTATTAATAACCCCATTAAAAGCATTGTGCGTATGGAGAGGCAAGGGCATAAATCTTTGCAGGATTGGCACCCTACCGTATAAACAATGTTAACTCAGACTGAGAAATTGGTCCCTGGTGTTTTTGAGTGATAACACATGAGAACTTTGTTAATTTGCACACACACAACAACAAATATTCCATCATACAATGTACTTCATGCCTTTATTTTTGGAGTATAGTTTAGTTTTCTGTCTTTATAATACTCACTAGTATATTGCAGTTGATTTAAAAAAAATGAAGTTGTAGTAATATAAGGTTTCACTACAACCTATTCTATAAAATCTTTGCAGAGAAATGCAGAGAAACTATTTCCTGCATGCTAATTGTGGGAATGCATATAGTCTAGTTTAGCAAGGTTCTACTTTGAGATGTATTCTATGGGGAAAAGAACTGATCATAATCAAAGACTTCAATAGTTCTTCATTTTAAAGGCCTTCTGACTAGACCAAAAGCACCCATATTTTAAGCATTTCAATGAAATTTTAATGAAATTAAATAATTTTAGGTTATTTTCCATACTGTATAAAAATAGATACCGGTAGGCTTAAAGCCAGAAGGCTCACAAACAATTTTCTCTCCAAAGAGGCATGCAGCCAGCTTAACTTACCACAGTTGAATTCTTCCACGATTAACGACGCAACAGGCCTGCCCTGAAGTCTCTTGGGATATTCACAGGTGGCAGCAGCTTGAGTATTTCCATTCCTGGTATATTCGTTTATTAGTTCAGCCAGCCACATTAATTCACAGTCGCAAACTAAGGCATTCGAGTCCAAGCGCCTGGGCATACAGGAAATAAAAACAAGTGTCCGGAATGTACATTAACCAAGTCGCCAACTTGACTGTGTGCAACGTCCCTTTTACTCTTTTAATGCTCTTGTAGTTCCTTCAAAATAACTAAATAGATAATCCGTGTGTGTTCACATACATACGCGCACGCAGTAAAAATCTCTGGCTTGTTACATTTTGTATTTCCTTCCTTCCTTCCTTCCTTCCTTGCTCAATATTACAATCTATTCTTCAAAAATGATGCGTCTTCAATATGTTGGAATAAAAAGGTAATCTCAAAAAACAACAGTAAACTGCCTTTCAGCTCCAGGATAATTCAGCACAGAACATTAATAGCCACACCAGTGCAAATATCCATTAGAAAATCTGGCTACGTACAGGAAGGGATCAGCTATAGCTGTCCCTACTCAGTACACTACAGAGGGAAGTGGATGCATGGATAACTTTCTCTCCACACCAGCACACAGTTGCAGGATATAATCGGTTTCCCAGCACTTCAGTGACAAAAGGAGTTTGTTGCGTAGCGTCACAGCTGGGTGCAGCAGCATTTCTGGGCAGGGTGTGGGGAGACCCATGTGTCCTCAGGGACCTCTTACTATACCTTACACCTTGCTCTGGCCCCAGTTTGGCATAGCACTTAAATAATGTGCTTAAGACCATTCCTACTCCACCGTAAGCTTCTGCTGAAATTCCATGGGATTCATGTGCATGTTTAAAACTACGTATGTGGTTTAAATGTTTTGCTGGGTCCTCTAGAAATGTGCTTCCGCTCCTTCCCAACACAGATCCACCTAACTGAACCGCCACATGACTCATTTAGCTGTAACTAATGGATGCCTTTATTAAAAAACAACAACTATCTGGTTTATCTATGTGTTGGTTTCACTTCTATGACAACCATGGTCTAGAATAAGGCTTGGTCCTAAAAGTAACATTAATAATTATGCCATTCAAAAAACTCACACTATTTAAAGACAGAGGCAGCCAGGAATTTGAAAACTGAACTCTTCAGGTCCATTACACTGTTGGAAGACAGGATACTGGGCTAGATGGACCTTTGGTCTGACCCAGTATGGCCATTCCTATAAACTTTAAAAATGACATGACTGAACTAACAGCCATGGACATTGAAATGTACAGTTGTTTTTGTAATGTTTTCATGATGTTTTCTCAGTTTCTAAGATAGTATTTGAATGCATGTATACATTTTATCTTGGGTATATCATATTTCTGGGATTCAATTTTCAAAGAATAAAATTTTTAGGGGCTCTTTTTTCTAACCTGTACATTATAAAAACCACCCTTGTAATATCTATTTGGTTATTAGTGTCAGATTATTGCCCTTAACCTTCTATCATCACACAATACATTCAGAGCCTGCTACATACTGCATTTTAGATTGTTCAACTGCAAGGAATATGTCATGATGATGAGGTCAACTGCTGTAACTTGAAAGGAATATTGATTTCCATTTATTTCAGGTACTTAAATGACTTCCATCATCTGAGTGCCTCCATAACTTTAACCTACTGATCTTCACAACAGCCCTGTGAGCTAGGGGAGTACTATTATCTCCAGTTTACAGAAGGGGAGCTGAGATACGGACGCTGAGGCTCCTAGATCACAAAGGAAGTCTGTGGCAGAGCAGGGTATTGAATACCGGTCTCCCAAGACTGCGGCTAATGCCCTAACTAATGGAGCGTCCTTCCCTATCCCAACCCCCTACCTACACACACACACACACACACTTGGTGTACATTAGCAACTTATGTCGGTATACCTGCGTTGCTCACGGGGGTGGAAAATCCTCCCCCCTGAGCAACGCAGTTATACCAACCTAACCCCAAGTGTAGACAGCGCTCTGTTGATGGGAGGGCTTCTCCTGTCAATATAGCTATTGCCTCTTCGTGAGGTGGGCAAAGCCCACCCAGCAGCATCTTCACTGAAGTGCTACAGTGTCACAGCTGCACCAGTGAAGCTCTGCTGCTATAGCATGAGTATAAAAGTGTAGACAAGCCCTCTCTCTCTCTCTCTCTCATCTTTAAGGGATGCTAACATGTTCAGGATGATTACAGTAACTTAGCCACTTATTCTATAAAACCATCCCCCCGAAAGCTATTTTTCAAATGGTTCTTTTCTTATTAAAAGGTGAGGCTTTCTGAAGGTAAACAGATTAAGCCTATAAACACATTTAAAGCACCTTTCTGTAACAGTGTGGCCCTTTCGGCTCTCTCCTTTTCTTTAGCTGCCCACCAGGAGTAGCAGGCTTACTTGCTTTGTAGCTGTTTATTTCTGAGTTTCAGAATTCTGGAATCAAATACAAAAAAAAAAAAAATCAACTAAACTAATCAAAGTGTTTCCCTGGAAATGATTTCAATGTTCACTCTTTTTGATCAATATTGTAAGCTGGCAATTGGCTTCTGTGTAAATGGCACATCTAGTTCCAAAACACTACAGAGAATAGTCTCACCTCAGTATACATACATAGTTCCCATCATCACCAAAAGGAATTACACTCACATATTGACAGGAGAATAGGCCCCTATGGAGGTATTAGTAATACCAAGTCATATGAATCCTCAATTTCTCATTTAGCATCACTCACTTAGAACACATTGATGAACCATACGGTGTTGGTGTTCTCTTTTCCTTGGTGTTCTTATGTTCCTAGCTTTTGGTAAAGAGCAAACTAAGGAGCTAGGCTCTGTTTTTTACTTCTGTAAACTTTAAGGGTATGTCTACACTGCAATTAAAAACCCATGGTTGGCCTTTGACAGCTGATTTGGGCTTGTGGGGCTCGGGCTTCGGGTCTGTTTAATGGCCACATAGACGCCAGACACAGGCTGGAGCCCAGACTCTATGATTTTGTGTGGTGGCAGGGTACAGCGCTTCACTGGTAACCTGAGCCAGAACATCTACACCACAATTAAACGGGCATGCAGCCCGAGCCCTGAAAGCCCATGTCAGCTGGCACGGGCCAGTCGCGAGTGTCTAATTGTGATATAGACCTACCCTCACAGTTTCAAGGATAAAGGTTAAGACAGTAAAGTTGCAAATGTTCTCTCTTTAGCCATAATTCAGCAAACTGCTTTGACAACTACTGAATTTTAAACATATGTTACAGCCCATTGTCTCTTACTTAACTTTAAGCATGTACTTCTCCACTGGGACTTAAAGACCTATTTGATTTTAAGCATGTGCTGAAATACTTTACTGAATAGGGATGGACCTAAGAATGTACTTCAGTGCTTTGCTGAACTGGGACCAATTTGCTAATTCAAATAAATCCTTATGGCCTGGAGACTTTTTAGAGTTTAGAGCCCAGTCCTGGTCCCATGGAAATAGGAGGCAAAAATCCCACCAAATTCAAGGGGGGATAGGATTGAACCCCGAAGCAGGAATTTCCACATCTGGTTTTGGAGACATCATTGGTTAGTAACTACAGTTGAGGAACAAACAGCAAAAAGAGGGGTAAAATTTAAGTTTCGAAGTCTCACACCTGTAGCTCTCTAACTGATTATGAGATGTGAAAAGGAAAAGGCAGGAGGTGCGACAAGAAAGGACCATGTGAGGCTCCTTAAACTTTAACCAATGTTTTATTAGTCATGGAAAACTCTCTCTCTAAGAAAAAATGTATGTCCATTTGCTGGCCAAATAGGACATGGAAGAACAGAATGCATGATATTTGCAGGCATATAAAATTAAATGGACCATTTGGTTCTCATGTCTACAAACACGACATCCATTTCTATTAACTGAGAGTCACCAAATTCTGTCCTGATTTAGTCTTAATTCCCCTTATTCCATATTTAGTAACTGCTATCCACATTCCTTCCCTTCGCCTCATTTGCCTTCACCCTCATTTCTCATTCTTCAGCCTTGTTCTCCCCTTCCATGCCTTGTCTTTCAGTTTTGTGTCTTATGGAATTTCTTTTAATTTCCATTCACATTTCACTTCTTATGAAACATTAAAACAAACACAGTACAATATGTCACTTCCTCTGTCCCATGGTGAAAAGCATGCCAACACCACATTATAAGAAAGCTGTGGTCTTCATTTAACTAACCTAATTAAAAACCTGTCTTCACAGTTCACACAGTTTTGCAGTAGAACAGGAGTATCATTATTTACAAAATTATTTTCCAAAACTTACAGTCTCTTTAGTGAATCCAGATGAGAAAAACTTCCAGCTGGGATCTTAGATAACTTATTGTTATGCAGAAATCTGAGGAACAGAAGATATGCCTTAATAACTGACAGATTCCTTTGCAGAATTAGATATTAATATATTACAAAGAACATGGCTCTGCATTGTATATTTTAAAATCTGACAATAAAAAACCCTTGCATAATATTAACAAATTAGTAAAGTTGTCGTTTTATAAAAGCTAAGGCTAAGGGAGGAGGGGTTTATTATTCAACCACAGGTTACTAATAAATATTGATTATATTTCTTTCAGATGACAAAAGCAATATCTGAGTCATTTATAGCTAATGGCCTTTGTTTCCCCACAAGAATAGCGGTATCCTGATCAAATTCAAACTTTGTAATTAAATACTTCCTGTATAAATTCCTCCTGTGGTTTCAACTGGATAACTCATGCTTCACTTTTGGTTCTAAGGCATTGTGTAGACTTACTGTGAAACAACTGTAATGTTTCCCCATTCAGAGGTGGTTATGTGTCAGCAATGGGTAAGTGATGTAGCATAATCTTTTTCATTTCTATTTAAGGCCTTCTCTACCCAGCGGATTTATCCAGATTAGTGCCATCACTAAGCGATGTAGCCACTCCAATGCAAACCATTGACAAAGCAACTATTTGCACTGGTCGCATTTAGCTCTGCTTGAAACTAGCATAATCTCCACTGGCAGAAATTGTGACATTTTGGCTATGTCTACGTTACACGCCACTGTAGGCGGTATGTAGGGAATGTGTAGTCACAGAGAAAAGCAGGCTGTGTCCACACTGTGGTGTATAGTTGCCCATGTCAGTGAAAGGCTCGGGCAGGGGGAAGGCCGGGGGGGTGGAGGCGGAAGCTTCAGCAGCTCTCCCTAGAAGAGCTTTTCCATCCTTGACAGAGTTTCCCTGCAGTAGTGGGGAGCTGCTGCACTCTGTCCCTTTGGCGGGGAAGGGCTCTCTCAGTAGGGAGATGGCAGAGCCTTTCCCCATTGCTGGACGCTTTCCCTCTGGTGGAGTCTTTCTCCAATTCCTCCCCACTGCCAGAGCTACTGGAGTCTTTTCCTGCCGTGGGGAAAGGCGCTAGCAGCTGGGAGGCAGTGGGACACTACATGGCTAAAAATAGCAGTGTAGACAGGAGAGCACGGCTTTGGGTGAGTAGAAAGCCATGTAGGTTACACCCTTCAGGGCAAGTCTGTATTTTACTCACCTAAGCCACACCTCACTGTCATCACTGCTACTTAAACTCATGCTAGGGGAGCTACTGGACTACATACTCTACAAGCCACTAACAGAAGAGTGCAGTGTAGAAGTAGCCTTTGCCTGTTCACACTACAGGTTTGCAGCTTTGAGAGGGGTCTGGCAACTGATGGCTGTAACTGAGGTAAATCCACAGAGGAGATGAGCCTTAAATGAGTCACATTTAAAGGTATCATGCCAAACAGATTCTGCAACAGAACAGAATTCTGGAGTTTTGATGGAAATCATGTCTTTTGTTACTTGAAAGACATCTAAACTCACTTTCAGAGAGATCTAAAGTCAATTCACTGAAAATACAATTCAGACTTGAAAGAGTTCTTCTTGGCTGGAGGGTTTGTGAAGGAAATCTACATTACAAAATCTTACTCTCTTATTAGGGTGACTATTACAGAATTTTCTCTACTTTTCAGCACTTCTGTAGATAAAAGGGCACAGAATTTATTTAGGTAAGTCAGATTTTGAATGAGGAAGACAAATCAAGAACACAGAACTAATGAAAAGTTTGCCCAACCAGCACTTACAATCTTTCTAATTTTGGGAGGTCTCTGAAGGTTTCTGGCTTGACTGTTTCTATTTGATTGAAGTGAATATACCTGTGGAAAGACCATCAATATAGTTATCTCATCTTTTCTGGACATTGTGAAGAAATTGGATAGAAAGGAAATCAGCAGTGTTGGCTGAAAATGCTGAAAGAACCCAACAAACCCACAGAACACAATCTCTGTAAACAGGAAATCCATGTATTTTTAACAATCGTTTTCCCTGCTGTTCACAGTGCCAATCTAAGAACCCACTGATACAGAAGAGGTGAAGCTGATGTCTACCAGCAGGTAGTGGCTCCAAGCCATCACCGTCTGTAACTGAACAGAAGAATGCCTGCTGAACTTATTATACTGTTTAATGAAACTCATTTGGGCTAAACAACAGAAAAAGGATGTGTAACAAGTGGCCAAACACAGTAACATTTGCATTAAGGACAAAGAATCAGTGAAAAGAGAGAGTTCTTACTTTGTACAGTAACTGAAGTTCTTCAAGATGTGTGGACCCTATGTGTACTCCACTAAGGGTGCAAGTGAGCTCCATGAGCCCGAAACTGGAAGAGTATTGCTAGCAGAGTCTGTAAGTCTGCTCCTGCACCCTTCTCCTCCTTGTGCTCCCAGACAAAAGCCTAAGGGCAGTGCAGACCGCCTACCTCCAGTTCCTTCTCTACCATGAAGCATGTGTTAGGATCTGAAGCAGGGCAGGTAGTGGAATACAGATAGGGACCACGCATCTCAAAGAACTCTAATTCTCGTATAAGGTAAGTAACTTCTCTTTCTTCTTCGAGTGCTAGTCCCTATGTGTATTCCATTGTGGGTGATTGCCAAGCAGTGCTTATTGAGGAGAAGGTTGTGAGGACCTCTGCAATACTTCTGAAAGGAGTATGACTGTACTGAGAGAGACACCATCTTCAGAAGCATCCACAAAGGCACAATGTCTTGATAAGACATTCACTGAACCCCAAGTAGCTGCTTTACAGATTTCAACAATAGGAATGTCTTGAATGAAGGCTACAGAGGTGGTCTGGGCTCCAGTAGAGTGACCTCTCAGACCTTGTAGTGCAGGGGTGTTTGTCAACTTCTAACACAGCAGAATCCACCCCAAAATCCTTTAGGTCTTTAGGAGGAGACTGTTTCCACTCTCATCCATTCTGTGAATGATACAAATCGTGCAGGTGATTTTCTAAATGGTCTTGTTCTTTGTAGGTAAAACACTCCAGCTCAGTGGATGTCTGTGGAGAGAGGCCACCTGTGTGCAGTTTTTGGAAGAATGGAGATAGGTGGATTGTCTGATTTAGATGGAAATCCAAGATCAGTTTAGGAGTAAACTTAGAATGTAGCCTCAGAGCATTCTTATCCTTGTTGAAAGACTGTATATGGCAGATCGCCCTGAAGGGTCCCAGTTCACCACCCTTATAGCTAAGGTGAAGGCAATTAGAAAGGTGACTTTCATGGATAAGAGGGATAAGGACCAAAAAGCCAAGGGTTCAAATGGAGGTCTTGTTACTGCTCAGAGGAGAAAATTCAGGCCTCACATCGGAGTATACCTACTCACAGGAGGAACGGTTATAACCAGGCCTTTCAAAAAAGTACTGCGACAGGATGGGTGAAGATAGAGTTGTTATCATAAGAACATAAGTACGACCATACTGGGTCAGACCAAAGGTCCATCTAGCCTAATATCCTGTCTTCCAACAGTGGCCAATGCCAGGTGCCCCAGATGGAATGAACAGAACAGGTAATCACCAAGTGATCCAGTGACAGGCACTGATACTACCAAATGAACCTGTAGTGAAGTAAGTGAGACACCCTTGGTATTTAAGGAAAGAAGATATTCTAAAATAGTCAGCATGTCAGAGTCCTCAGGGGTTATCTGATAACTGATAAATATTTCCAGTTGGCTATGTACTATTTTCTAGTGGACTCTTTTATACTATTGTTAAATATGACCTGAACTGCCCCAAGCATGCATTTTCTAAGTTTAATACCGTGGGTGCGGACTTAAAGGCACTGTTAGCAATACTAAATAGGGAAAAACTGATGACCTGCAGTGCTCCAAGTAAGCTGCTACTACTGATAGCATGAAGGGTACCTACAAGTGTACTGTTGCAAAGCCAAAGGAGAGTACCCTATAGTGGTAGTGGTGCCTGTCCTTGGAGAACCTCAGGAACCTTCTGTGTGAGGGGTGGAGGTCTATGTGGACATAGGCATCCTTCATATCAAAAGCTGAGAACCAGTTGTCTCTGTTCAGTGAGGAAATTATTGATGCCAGTGTGACCATTTAAACCTCAGTTTTCAGATAAAGACAAGGAGTTGTCTGAGGTCTAAGATGGGTCTCCATCCTCCCTTCCTTTTTCAATGAGAAATTATTTTCAGTAAAATGTTGAAGAGGACCTTCTCTATAGATCCCTGAAGGAGGAGGACGTTCCCTTATTTAATGACCATCCTCTCCTGAGAGTGGTCCCTCAAGAGGAACAGGGAAGGGATTTTTGGGGGTGGGGGGAAAGCAGAGGAATACTATAGTACAGCCGGAGTGTATGATGTATGATGAGTTCCAAAGAGGATGGAGGTAGGCTGTTCTCAGTGGTGGCAGATGACAGAACAAGGAGCAATGGTCTTAAGTTGCAATGGGGGAGGTCTAGGTTGGATATTAGGGAAAACTATTTCACTAGGAGGGTGGTGAAGCAATGGAATGGGTTACCTAGGAAGGTGGTGGAATCTCCATCCTTAGAAGTTTTTAAGGCCCGACTTGACAAAGCCCTGGCTGGGATGGTTTAGTTGGTGTTGGTCCTGCTTTGAGCAAGGGGTTGGACTAGATGACCTCCTGAGGTCTCTTCCCACCCTAATCTTCTACGATTCTATGTCAACAATCCATCTGTCTGTTATCACCCACTAAGTTTGGGCAAAGTGGGCCAGTCGACTCCCAAATTGGGTCTTGGGGCTCATGATTGATGAATGGGGTATTTGGAGTGCTTTGCAGCTCTTGAAAGTACCGTCAAAAATATTTCTTAGCAGGAGGTTGCGGTTGGAAGAAGGGGAAGCATTATGTGTACCCTGCTCCAGCTTTTGTCACTTCCATGGAGGTTTATACGCCCTTTGGTGGTAGAAGTGTTGAGGCACTGTCTGAGGCTTGTATGACTGAGGTCTGTGGTACTTCCTCCTTGGCGCTAGAATGTAGATCCTCAGTTAGGATCAGAGGGTTGCCCTTGAATCCCCCAGTCAGTGTACAGATTCATCTGTTTTATTCCTGAACATGTTGTTCCCTTCACAAGACATATCCTCCACTGTAGATTATACTTCCCCAGAGAATCCTGAGGAATGAAGACAGGATGCTCAATGCGTGACAATAGCCATTGCCCTTGAAACAACAGCTGTTTCTGCTGCATCAACAGAGGCTTGGAGAGATGATCTGGTGATTAATTTACCCTCCTCAATCAGAGCCAGGAATGTGATCTGCGCTCTTGTGGGTGTTTGTCCATCTATTCCACTAACTTAGAGCAACTGACAAAAATTGTATTTTGAGGTTAATGCTTGGCAATTGGCTATATGAAAAGGCTGATTGAAGTGAAAACTTTCCTGCCCAATAGGTCTAGATGTTTAACATCCTTATCTAACAGAGTGGATCTGGTAAAATAAAAATTCTGCTACCTTGGCTGGCATGTCGTATTTCTTTTCAGTCCTCTTAGAGACACAAATGAATGGTGTATGCCAGATGACCTTAGCAAGCTCCATTAATTAAAGGGCAGCATAAACCTCCTAGGCCTTTCACTATGCAGAATGCCCAAGGGCTTTTGAGGAGTCTCTTGTACCCCCTGCAGAGAAATCTGGAGAGTCTCAGCAACCCTCCTTAATAGGTCCTGGAACTGCCTGTAATCATCAAGTAAAGAATATGGGGTTGGGTCTGATTCTTTCTCCTTGTCCTTGGGCATCTGAGGAAGCCTGAGTTCCTCTCCGGGAAGTGAGGGATATTGTAACTCCCAAAGGGAACAGAGAGACTCGGAGTATTGTGTGAATGGATCCCATGGTCCCCAGTAAGAGGGATCAAACATTGGCTGAGCACCAAGATCTACCTGGTTTCCCTGGAGAGAGGAGCCTTCAGGGCTTTCACTTTGGTTTATTCTCTTGCTACAGCTGCCATGACCATTTGCTAGACACAGGCAAACACCTAGTGATGTTTCTTCCATTAGCACTGAATAATAGAAAGACCTCTACTGTCATCTTATGATCATAAATAAAAGTTTACGAAAATAATACTAAAATTCAAACTTTACAATTGGACTTTTTGTACCAGATTTTTGGTCTCCTATTTTACACTGCTATTTTTAAATCATACTTGAATTGGAAAAATCCACAATCCACAGTTGTCATGGCAGCCTTTTTCAGGTTTCTGTTTGACTATTTAAATCTCTTTAGCAATACACAGTTTCACTTTCACTGGCAATAACCAGTGTACAGGGCTCCAAGTGGTGGAAAATTTCCAGAGAGGAGGTTGCAGTAGCACTTGGTAGCCACTGCATCCCAAAAAGTGGGTGGCATTGGTTGTTGCCCTAAACAGAGTGGTGGGAAGCAAGAGGAAAAAAAAGGTTGAAGGTGGTATAGGCAAAGCTCAGCCTCTTTTTCATCTGCTCTGTTACTCCATGTGGAGTTTTTTCAACCCAGGCAGTGCAGACTGAAAACAGGAACCAGAGCACCTGTGGATTTGGCAAACTCTCTGCCCTCTCCAAAAAAATAAAAAATAAAATATTTCCACCAACGATTCCTGGAGGTTTGATTTTAGAAATATGGACACCTTATAGCTACAGCGCTCCCAACAGACATAACTGCCTTTCTCCCATGTAAATCCTATACTAGGGTGGTGCTGGAAACAGTGCCTGCCCTCTCCCAAGGGTAAATCCTCCACAGTGAGCCAGATTAGGACAGGGTGTGACGCAATTCGCATCTTTACTCCAGCAGGGTCCTTAGTCCCTTAACTGAACACAATCTCTCCTAATGTGTTTAAATACAGCTAAATGTAAATGTATACATGTGGGAATATAGGCCACACTTACAGAATG